CCGCAGCAAGTTCCAATCGTTTTCGTCAACTTCACTTACCAACACAACAGTAAATCTTATGGAAATGAGTAGATCAAATTTTAAAGATAATTAATGGTAATGAGTGGAAGCAATTCAGTCATTTTCAAGGGTAGGACTAACACATTATAAGATGGGACTGAACTTGAAAATGAGTGATTTGCTGTTCCACTCATTTTCATCAAGGTTGCCAATAGAGGAGGGCTTATCGCTACGAATAAGGCTGGTGCAAAATTAAAACCATTATTATCTCATGTCATAATTTTTCTCGATTTTGGTGTGAGAATGGTTGCGTTCACCACCACTCAACATGTTGAGTGATTGGTCAACGGGTTTGTTGAAAACATAGAAAATAAGTTTGAGCCCCTAACTCCCAATAATTGTGGGTTGTTGAGATTATAGCATCATAGTGCTACTATAGGCAGATTTGTTTGTGTGAGTTTTAAAGGGTTAAAGTCTCAAATGTAGCCGTTTTTCTTCCTGTGCTGTGTCTGTAAAAGGCCAAAGGATTTTGGTAAGTTTTCATTTTCTGCTATTCTTCTTTTTGATAAGTTCTACAATGTTAGAGTTCTTTTAGAATACTTCTTTACTATATTTGCTATTTGCTTACCATCATGTGCGAAAATCTTGTTCATTTTTTTTGGCCTTTTTCCTTTAGTCCCTCTTCACTTTCATTCTTCTCCGTATTGGAGGCCTTGTTTCTTCTCCGAGTGCCGATTTCCCATCAACCTCCAGTACTCCAGAGGTACCTTCTCAACCACTCCAGTCGGTCTAACTGCCCCCCTAGTTGCTGGAACATCCCTAACCACCAAGAAGATTTGGGAAGTACCCTCGATCTTTACTGTCAGGTAGATTTCTGGATCGCTGTAAGACTTGCAAACAGCAACCAATCAAGGAATGTAATATAATTTAATATTCAGTGATTTTCTTTTATTTTCCCTCTACAGCTGATTTTTGACATTTAGAATTCTCAATTCTTTTCAGATTGCGGTGCGATCACGAGTTCTCCAATCCTAGGGGATTTCAGTTAAAGATGATCGCCTTTAAACCTTCCTTTCTTTCGTGTTGATTTGATTCTTTGTATGCTATAGGCTGTTTCCTGTTTTAAAATATCTTTCGTTCAAAAACCGACTTACTGCAGGGTTGAAAACAGGTGGTGCCATTATTTAGACCCACCCAACTCACCGGAATTTTGTGGGTTAGTCGGAGCTTCCCTATAAGTAGGATTTCTTCTTTAGGCCACCTTTAAGAGTCATATCCATTCCTTCACTCTTTTCTCCCTTAGCTACCCCATGCAGCTTGAGACTCGTAACAAAATTGGCGCCCAACGTGGGGCATCCCGAAGGTGTTTCCATTTCATTTTGTTTCTTTCCAAATTTGGCATTGCAGTCTCCGACTAACACGGTAATGTACGATGGAAGACTTGAGTAAGGTCCTAGTAGAAGTCTTCAATATTTTTGTCCTAACTTTGCGATGTGGGTGCATATAGGCTTGGATAATCTTGACATTGTATCGTTCATTTAATATTACAAAGCAAACTCTGAGGCTTACGCTGCTGATCTCAAATATATTGTGTACATGTTGCCTAATTATCAGAAGTTCGACTCCTCCTATATAGCGGTTTTCTTCACACTTGTGATAATACATATTTCCTGACTTCAGTAGGATTTGTTTTTCTCCTCTTTTCCGGATTTCGCTTATTCCGATTACATCCCAGTATATTTGTTAAAGTTCTTCTTCTAGTTCCAACACTTTCTTGTCACATGAAAGGGTGCTCGTATTATATGTCGCAATAATATGCAGTTTTAGTCTTCCTTGGTAGCCTAATCTTACTCGGAGATTCTTAGCACCCTCCAATCGCTGCCTTTTCCAACCGCTACCTTGGTCAGAGACTTGCGATCTGCCGAGGACTGAGAGCCATTTGTGATTTCTACTTTCCATCTTGGTTAAGATATGAGGGTTTTAGCCTTTCCTATCACGCTGGCTAGTGCGGGTTGATAGGGGTATACTGGGAATTTCATTTCCTTAATTTCCCATTGGTATGGTTATCCCGCCGATATTCGTATCATCTGTTATCTAGCAGGGTGCAGCGTATAGTTGGGTACCAATCACCGCTCGTGCAGGTGAGGTTGACATTTGGACTGGTTTTATCCTTTTGCCTTCGTCTCTTGCACCCCCACACAATGTGTGAGATGGGACTGAGCTTGAAAATGGGTGATAGAACAGATGGGACTGAGCTTGAAAATAAGTGATTTACTGTTCCACTCATTTTCATCAAGGTTGCTAATAAAGGAGGGCTTATCGCTACGAATCTTGCAAAATTTAAACTATTATTATCTGATATCATAATTTTTCTATCCCAGGCTCTTGAATTTTCTTTATTTCGACAAAGTCATCAAGAGCCGGGAATAGACAAAAATTGAAACGGAAAAACTGAGAATTTGTTGCATATAAGTTCTGATACCCACTGTAATCTGTAGAACTCTTTTATTTTAGACTAGTGGCGCAGCCTGTGCTATTTCAGACTTTTGTTAGAGCTCATAGTTTTGTAAATTAATTACTTTTAGTCTGTCAACATGTTACGTGAATAAAGCATTTTGCAAACAAAGTGTTGTTAGAATTCTCTGGCCCCAAAATTGTTATTCGCTCTTTAAGAGGTTATGGGCCCAGCTAGTTTCAGTTAGTAAACAGTACCTATTCTGGAAGCATCTTATGTCAATAACTGGCATTTCCGAATAGTTACTCTGTTAAATAGGGTAGGAGCAACAACCAAAAAGAAAAATAAGCTTGTTTGACTTAGATGTTAAGGCACAGTCAGTGATTATGTGCAAGGTTTTTCAGATAAACATCTGAACATCATCAAAGATTGCAAAACTGCAAAGTAACAGCTTTTGGCTTTGGAGGATGTAGGTATTTGTGAGAACTATAGTGCATTTATGAAGTTATCACTTTCGAAAAAGTTACTTGGACTGAAGTCAGGTGTGAATGAGAAGTTGGAAGACCATTTCCTAAAGTTCGACACAATGATAAGGGGAGTTCGAAGACTGGGGATCAAAACATGGATGAAGATGATAGAGTTTGTCACTTACTGCTGTAGTTATCATCGAAATTCGATAAAAACCGTAAGTGACGTAAAAATTGATTCTGTCAAGGCCAAACTTTCAGATAAAAGGTTAGTTTTAAAGCTACAATCAGCAAATCCTTTTTTATGTGTGGTGATAGAAATCAATTTAAATCATAATGCCTAAAACGAAATATGAGAGGTAATTACAAAGGCAGGTTTAGAGGAAAAGTACAGAATTCAAGAAAATATAGAGGTGGAAGTTTTACCCAAAGATCAAGTGGTCAGTCTACACAGACAGCTTTTTTATGGGAGAGGTCTGTCTATAAAGACAGCTTTTCGAGATAAGTCTGTCTACACAGGCAGCTTTTCGAGACAGGTTAGTAGTAACGGGAGCCTGAGAAATTGTTCGATACCGTGAGAAAATCTTTAGATCGGCGGCGCCTTCAGGAAACTGTCATTTCGAACCCTTGTCGATCAATTGCAAGAATTCACCGCACTCTCGACAGATAGCGTCATGACGTTTGACAGATGATAAGATGGCGCCGACGCATCCACTTTCGTGTCAAGGACGGCTACAGATTTTCGAGATGGTCTTTCTAAACAGATAGCTTTTCGAGACAGGTTTGTCTACCCAGACAGCTTTTTTATGGAATAGGTCTGTCTATAAAGACAGCTTTTCTAGATAGGTCTGTCTACACAGACAACCTTTCAAGACAGGTTAGTAGTAACTGGGGTATCTGAGCCAGAGAAATTTTTCGATACCGTGGGAAAATCTCTAGATCGGCGACGCCTTCAATCTGAAATTTCGTGGATTTGACCTGGGCCAACCCCAAATTTTTCGACGTCATGATGTTTTCGGTGGCGCCATCTAGCGTACATAGTGTGAAGTTCGTTGTGTCCTTTCACGGGATGCCGTAGCGGTGAATAAGAAAAATTCGTGAATCAGTACGCCGCCGACGTTTAATGTGGGAACAAACAGGAGTATTATGTATTACGGTTAACCGGTTGGCCCGGTCAAAAATAAAAGATTGAGGTTATGGTCGGATTTTGGTAGTGAAACCCGCTTTGACTATCTACTGGCATTGTCTGGCAGAAATGTTGGAACATGAAGTTCAATGAAGTAATGTGACTAAATTTTAAAAGATCACAATATGATTATTATTGTTCGTATGTCAAGGACGATGTTTATTTGTTGATCGCCTATAGTGTTTGTGGACAATGCATTGATAACGGGATCAAAAGAAAAAGTGAACAAATCAGTGAACAGTTTGTATAATGAATTCAAGGTTGCAAATATTACTGACCTTTCCAAGAATGGAGAGGTCTCAAGATTACCCAGCCAAAATGATCACACGATTACTGAAAGAGTTTGGTATGGAAAATAGCAAACCTATACCAACCCTGATGAAAGTAAATTTCCACATGGGTAACCTATAGAAAAAAATATTCCTTATAGAAGGCTGTTTTGCAGTCGGATGTACTTGGCATTGATGTGACAATCGCCTATAGTGTTTGTTGGACAAGCCAACAATACAAGCATGAAACGCTGGAAAGCGGATTATGCGCAACTGCAAAACTGTAGATTGATGTATGGGACAATTTATAGAAGTTTAGGCGCTGTGTGTGATGCGGACTGGACTTTGGTGATAGGCAGACAAAGAAGAGGCTAAGTGGTCCTATGTTTCCATGCTGGGACCATAGCTTTGCACTCACGACAGTAGAGTTATGAAGGTTTGAATACCTTCTCTTTTGAACCATGTATAAGTAAAGATTGAAAAAAATTAATAAACATTTTCAATGAAATTCAAAATATTCAAATTTGAAACAAAAATTCCCATTAAGTAAGTTCGCTAATTGATTTTTTCCCTATAATAGGATATTTCTCGTTGACTAAACCCCCATTTTTCTTTGGTTTTAGGGAGAAAATGGCATATCGATCGATTTCGACGCTGGAAACGTTACCTATATTCCCATCAATGGTGAGTACCTACTAATTAAGTTTTTTTCAAAGTGTATTCTTATTTGTAATTTTGATATTCCGGTAAGTATAATAACTATTCACTTTATTGATTGAATAACTTAGAGACACATTACAAAAACTCTATGATCTTGCACACTGGTATAGTGCTTTGAGAACTTTGAACAGAATAATTTTGCAGTATTCTACAACATATAAACATCAAAATCCTCAATTCCTGGGACGAATTTTCATCTTGTACCCGTTCATTGACTTCAGTACCGAGCAAGTACCGATTTCCATTTTAAAATCTGGATCCTCTCCCACGCGGAATTGCAGCAGAAATTTAGCCACCGTGGCTTTGAGCGAATACATTGCGTATCTTTGACCTACGAAAAAAATTACTGAATTATTTAAAATGGCGTGCTAGACCAGAGGAAGTTGATAATATAATATTTAAGGCAACTATTTTCGATTAGCTGGATAATCCAGAAAAAATAACCATAACCGTAGATGAAATTATACTTTTTGAAACAACTTAGTTATAATAATTCAATGTCGAAATTACTCCACCACTGATCCAATTCTAAACTTACCTATGCAATTTCGAGGTCCCGCACTGAAAGGGACGTACGAGTAATTGTGCCTGGCCGATATTTTTTCAGGCAGAAACCTGTCTGGATCGAATTTGTGAGGGTCTGGAAACACGGTCGGGTCGTGGCTCATTCCGTAAAGGAAAATCGAAATCGTGGTGCGTTTCGGGATAGTGATTCCGTCTGAAATCGAACAATGAAGTTCTTTGTGCTGATAAGATGTGTGATAGTTTTTAAAAGTTTAAAAGGTAATTATTATCTACCAATAATCCAATCTTGGTCTAAGCTTCTTTCGATTAGTGGTACTGGTTGGTAGAATCTTAAAGCCTCTCTGACAACAATATCCATATATTTGAGGTTGTTGATTTGCGACATTGTGATTTCGATTTTGGGATCTTTGCCTAGGACTTCGCATAGTTCTTGGTAGACTTTGTCTTGTATTGAAGGGTTTTGAGCTAGGGCGTAAAGGGTGAAGCATTCAGCTGTCGCTGAAGTATCGTGGCCCTTAAATACAAAAGCTGTTTAATTGGTTGAGTAGTTGATTTTGAAGTTACTTCAAACATAAATGTGTTAACTTCATCGCGTATGTCTTCGTCTGTTAGGTTTCCTCCGTTTTGGTTGGCTTCTAGTAACATGTCTAGTAGGGCTGAGCGGATTTTGATGCCTTCTTCGTTGTTGACTGTCATCTACAATTTACAAAATGTTATTGTCTTGAAGACCTGTAATTTACAATATTTCCAGATTTACAGGTTTTGAGAAAATTAACATTGAAGTTTTTGACAAAATTTAGACTAAAAGTTAAATTTGAGGCTCAATTGCTCAGGGACTATTTGCACTAGCAAACTCAATTTACTACAGGTTTATAGAGAATTTAATGCTCTTTCTGATGACATATAATTTATTTCAATTTGCTCAAAGTTTTACAATAATATGGGCAATTGCACATGGCCATGTCAAAATTTTGAAAATTTTCCAGACCCAAAATTAAGATTTTCTTGTTAATTTTTTTGCATCTCAAAAAGGCCATTTGAAAATAATATCAGAGTGGTTTTCCACTAATTTTTACCCGCTCTATCGATTGCTGAAGTCAAAATTGAGCAAAACTGAAAAATTACAAAATCGAGTTTTTGTAAGGGTAACCCCTTTGAATTTGAATTTCAAAATCTTCAAATCTCAATTTCTCATGTACCGTTAGGCAAATTGAGTTAAAATTTTCAGCATTTGTGGCTCTGATTAAGCTTTAAAAAATCTGTAATTTACAATATTTCCAGATTTATAGGTTTTGAGAAAATTGACATTGAAATTTTTGACAAAATTTAGACTAAAAGTTAACTTTGAGGCTCAATAACTCAGGCACTATTTGCACTAGCAAACTCAATTTAGTACAGATTTATAGAGAATTTAATGCTCTTTCCGATGATGTATAATTTATTTCAATTTGCTCAAAGTTTAACAAAAATATGGGCAATTGCACATGGCCATGTCAAGATTTTGAAAATTTTCCAGACCCAAAATTAAGATTTTCTTGTTAATTTTTTTGCATCTCGAAAAGGCCATTTGAAAATAATATCAGAGTGGTTTTCCACTAATTTTTACCCGCTCTATCGATTGCTGAAGTCAAAATTGAGCAAAACTGAAAAATTACAAAATCGAGTTTTTATAAGGGTAACCCCTTTGAATTTGAATTTCAAAATCTTCAAACCTCAATTACTCATGTACCGTTGCGCAAATTGAGTTGAAATTTTCAGCATTTGTGGCTCTAATTAAGCTTTAAAAAACCTGTAATTTACAATATTCCCAGATTTACAGTTTTTGAGAAAATTGACATTGAAGTTTTTGGCAAAATTTGGACCAAAAGTTAACTTGGAAGCTCAATTACTCAGAAACTATTTGAGCTATGAAACTCAATTTTACACGAATTTATAGAGAATTTAATGCTCTTTCCGATGATATATAATTTATTTTAATTTGCTCAAAATTTAACAGAGATATAGGCAATTGCTCATAACCATGTCAAGATTTTGAAAATTTTCCAGAGCCAAAAATAGGATTTTCGATTTATTTTTGTTTCTGCTTTAAATGGCCATTCGGAAGTGATGTCAGGGTTGTTTTCCACTAATTTCCACCCACTCTATCGATTGGTAAACTCAAAATGGAACAAAACTGAAAAATAAAAAAATCGAGTTTTTCATAAGGGTACCCCTTTGAATTCTGATTTCAAAATATTCAAACCTCAATTGCTCGGTAACCGTTGAGCAAATTGCATTGAAGTCTTCAGCATTTGTGGCTCTTATCAAGCTCTAAAAGACCTGTAATTTATAATCTCTCTAGGTTTATAGTTTTTGAGCAACTTGAGTTTGAAGTTTTTGACAAAATTTGGACCAAAAATCAAGTTTACGGCTCAATTTCTCAGAAACTACTCAAGCTTTCAAGCTCAATTTTGCACAGATTTATAGGGAATTGAATGCTCTTTTCAACGGTGTATACTTTATTGTACCTACTACTACTTACTTTTCCTTTTTTAGCAAATTCCTCCTTGCGCTTCTTGATAACTTTTTCACAAAAATCATGCAAAACATTTAAAGTTTCATGGTAAACCTTATAATGCTCAGAAAATCTGAACAATAAAGGATGCCCCATAAAGCCCGAGTAAAATCTGAAAACGAAAATTTCCAAAAACGTTTTAACCGCTGCCACGTATTTGGGGTTTCCTTGTGCTTGTGCGTTGATTGGGGTACCAAAAGCGGTTTCTACAATTAAATTTATAATAATTTTAATGCATAAAATCAAAATAATTATATAGGTACCGCAAATAATATCTAAAGACATCAAATTAATAAACCTAAAAATGTCTATAGTTTGTCTAGGAGATGTTTGCACTTCTTCCAAAAGCTTGTCCAACATAACATTGATTTGCCTGTTGAAGATTTGCATGAAATCTTCAAGAACTTTGAAGTGGAATGTTGGAGTTATCATTTTTCTGCGTTGTTTCCATTTTGAAGCTAAATATTTCAGTTTTGAAGTATTTTTTTTTTAAGACTACAGTGTTTTCTTACCTGAGCTTACCAATAATCCATCACCCAACCAAGGCTTAAATAAATCATACCCATTAGATTTATTCAAATTAACATTAGAAGAAAGTAATTCTTCTAAATATTGTGGTTTATTGATAACGATTCTTAAAGTAGGCCCTGTCCACAATTTGTAAAAGCTGCCGTATTTTTGCTGAAGCACCAAAAGCTCTTTTAAGTATTCTACAATAAAATATTATAATAAATTAGTAATTATTAAAATCCACAAAGAACCTGTAGGTGTTTTTCCTAAAGAATTTCCAAAAATAGGCACCGGTTTTGGTCCAGGTATTTTGCTCAAACTTCTATATTTAAACACTTGCCAGTACCAATCGATTAGGGGTACTGCAATCGATAGTAGTACCAGCAGAAGTACGTAGGAAACGACCGCACCGATCATTGTTTAAGTTGGTACTGGGATTAAATTTAACGAGCCTATTTGTTCCGAATATTATTTGTTTTTATTGGAGTTTTATCTTTATGGATTTATTGGAGGTTATCTGTGTATAGGCCTGCAATATTGGTGGATATTTAATTTGATTGGATTTTTATTTTTAAACTCATTAGGAAAGTTTGACTTTGAGATGCTCTGGTAGTTTGGAGTATTGTTCAGAAGTTCTCAAAGTTGATTGAGTTTTCCGTCTCAATGTTTGTCTATTCCTGGCTCTTGAATTTTCATTTTCTACTAAATTTTTCTAAATAGAGCTTGGAATACTTTGTGTATCAATTTTTTCTCAATTACTCTTAAATTTCTTTTCTCTATTTCTCAATTTTTCCCGCTCAATGTTTTCACAGAACAGAACACAATTTCCTGATTCCAAAACTATTTGTCTATATTCGGTTGAGCCGTCTCCAACATATATTTAGTTCTAAAAATTTTAAAAATACTATCAGAGAAACCAAGTACTTCAAAGTTTACCTGCAGCTTTCACTTGTACAGGGTTCTCAAAATCAGTAGTAGAGGATAGTATTTTGACAATTTTTGGAGCAGAATATATGAGAGACTGTTCAATCAAATATAGACAAATTATATACATATTTTTGGAATCGGGGCATTGTGCTCTTCAATAATATAGAATGAAATATAGGACATCCCATTTGTAAAAAGCTGTAAGCATGCAAAATTTCACATTTCTGACATTCAAATTTTGTTTCTGACCATGGTTTCTAAAGATTCAGCCAAAACTGTACAACTTTTGTATTAACACCTTTCTTCTACCTGTGAAAGTAAAGGCTGTAGGTTAGGTGTCAATATATAAAAAAACACCCTGTAAAAATAAGTGGATTATTGCGGAACTTATGGGTGGACCTCTGCGGAACTCGCTGCGCTCGTCCCGCAGCCATCTACTCATTAATAAACTGTTGAACTGATCAAATAAGACACTCACCTGAAACGAGTAGTTTTTGAACTAATGAGAAAAATTCTCAACTTAGTGAATCAGGTTGGTATTGTACTTGAACAACATATTGTTGAATAGATGGCTGGGTCCACCCATAAGTTCCGCAACAATCCACTAGTTTGTACTTGAAAAACTTGTCACAATATATTACTAGTTTGGTAAAGTAACATTACTAATTCCTGTTAGATGGCCAATTGACAAAAAGTGGATAATCTTACAAATTCTGACTTTACATAATAAGTTATGGTTCAAGTACAAATAAGTGGATTGTTGCGGAACTTATGGGTGAACATCTGCGGGACGAGCGCAGCGAGTTCCGCAGCCATCTAATTACCAATATACTATTGAACTGAAAGTAAGATATTCACCTGAAAAGTGTGTGTAATTTTTAAACTAATGAGAATAACGTACATTTGAGTGAATCAGTTAAGTATCTAAACAACATATTGATGAATAGATGGCTGCGGAACTCGCTGCGCTCGTCTCGCAGAGGCCCACCCATAAGTTCCGCAACAATTCACTCATTTGTACTTGAATAACTTGTCACATTATGTTACTAGTTTGGTAAAGTAACATTACTAATTCCTGTTCAAAGGCAAATTGACAAAAAGTGGATAATCTTACAAATTCTGATTTTATATAATAAGTTATAGTTCAAGTACAGGGTGTTTTCTATATATTGACACCCCACCTATAGCCTTCACCTTTACAAATAGATGAAAGGTGTAAATACAAAAGTTGTACAGTATTGGCTAAATTTTTAGAATCCATGGTCAGAAATAAAAATTGGATGTCAGAAATGTGAAATGTTGCGTGCTTTCAGCTTTTTTCAAATGGGATGCCGTATGTTGGGTTCTATATTCTTGAAGAGCACAATTTCCCGATTCCAAAACTACATAGTTTGTCTATATTTGGTTGATAAAAATACTATCAGAGGAATCAAGTACCTCAAATTTCACTGCAGCTTTCACCTGTATAGGTAGAATGGTTCACAAAATCAGTAGCAGGATAGTATTTTCACAATTTTTGGAGCCGAATATATGAGAGACTGTTCAATCAAATATAGACAAACTATATATTTCTAGAATTGGGACATTGTGCTTTTCAAGAATGTAGAATGAAATATATGGCTGTAGGTGGGGTGTCAATATATAAAAAAACACCCTGTACCTACCTATTTAAAATCACCTTATTCTCCTAACTAGTTCCCCCATTCCCATATTTTTATGTGCCATTTCTTCGAAAAACCGTATAATCTTGCACAATGCGCTGCCAAAACTAACCCAATCTGGCTTACATTAACTTAAATTGCCCCCCCCCCCTCTTTCAAAAGGCCTGTATCCGCCCCTGCTAAATCTATGAATTTCCCTTTTATACAGGGTGTACTCAATAAAATAAAAGTCTTTCAAAGATGGTCAAAATTGGAATTTCCTAAGAATATTTAATCTTTCTCAAACTCCACGTAGAGGAATGAAATTTGAGAATTCAGTAAAGAATCGCATCAAATTTCAATGAGTGTGGTTCTAAATCTATGAATTTCCCTCTTATACAGGGTGTACTCAATAAAATAAAAGCCTTTCAAAGAGGGTCAAACTTGAAATTCATTAAGAATGTTGCATCAATGAATGATGAGGCGATGTTGTAACCTAAACTTCAAATATTGAGGGATCCAATTTAGGGAATTAGTAAAGGATTTTATTGACTTCCAAGGGGAGTTTCACTAGATTTTCAAATAGATCAAAAGCCTTTCGAAAAGTCAAAATTGAAATTTTCTAGGTATGAGGCAATATTCTTACCCAAACTTCAGGTAGAAGGATGAAATTTGAGGATTAAGTACAGGGTTTAATTGACTTTTAAGGGGTATTTTACTATTATAGATTTTCAAATGGAACAAAATTAGAATTTCCTATAGGTATGTTGCATCAAAGTACCATTTAGATCATAATCCTTTAGTTTTATTGGTAATTTAATTTTTCTTTCTTTTTTTTACATTATTTCAGCCTACTTGGTAGTCATTTTCAATGTGATTTTCTTCAGCATTTCCTTCTCTCATTGGGAAATTAGTCTCATGTTGCCCATTTGCTTGATTTTCTCTTTCAGATGGAATGTACAAGGAACACAATCATTGAATACATTCAAGTACCAACTGATAAAACGACTGAGTACTAATGAAAGTACCACTAAAATAACACTTTAATTGCGTATAGTTTTAGTAGTGATTTGCGTAACTTTTACCCACTACTGATAAATTTTTAATAAAAAGTGCTATATACGCATTAAATTTATCTGAGTTTGGGCAAAACAAACACTGGCTTGAAACTTCCGAAAAGTTAACGCGAAGTTACAAGTAAACTTTCTAAATTAAATTCGCGCAATCAGGAAGATGCGTTAGGGGGTTCGAGAAGGGAGATTTTCAAGTGGAATTAAAACAAATAATCAATTGTGAATCATTTTGATGAACAAATCAGTTATAATTATTGTTGGCACGAAAATACAATTCCTGTATGCCTACGCTCGACGTAAGCGTAGTACCACTATAAAGTACCAGCTGATCGTTCGTTTCACTCTGGCCGCGCCTCGCAGCGTAGGTCAAAAAACTCGACTTGGGCTGGGTTAGTTTTTCGTATTATGGCTGGGTTTACATCATACTTTATGGCTCAAAGTTTTGTCAGTTTTAAGCCAGTTTTTTTGAAGCTTTGTTCATTGTCAAGTCTTTCAAAGTTTTCATCAAAAAATTTAAATCCCTGGATTTTTGGCAATTTGAAAATGTTCAAAGGTTCCTTGTTCAGTAGAATTTTCAATTATTTCAAATCAAGACTCTCAGTCTTTAGTCTCAAGGCAGAATTGAACATTATTCTTGGCTCTTGTAAAGCGGAAATTGAGCCAGAGACAAAATTGTAAATCACCAAGTCTTTAGAGCTTTCAAAATCTTCTGTTATAATGTTTTTCCTTTAAAATCCTTGAAGATTGAAGTTATTGAGCATTGAGTTTTTGAAGCCTTTGACTAGAATTTTCAAAGTTTTCAGTCTCAGGCTTTAAATTTGGAATTCTCATTTTAATATCTTGAAACCTGTTATCAAAGGTTCTAAAGTCTTTAATGTTGTGACTTTAAAATCTTATCAAAATTCTTCGAAGAGTTTCCAAAAGCCATTTTTTGACTTTGGACATCAGTCTATGGCTTCAAATTTGCATTTCCAAAGTCATCGGTGTTGCATCTATAGATATCTCAATATCCTTTGTGCAGATCTCTAAATTCTCGGTCTCAGGCCTTGACTCAGAATCTTGAAGAATGTGCATTCAAATTCAAAAATTTTCAATGTATTCAGAATTTTATATATTGAGACTTTTCGCTCTAAGTTCATTGGAAACTTCAAATTTCTCAAATCAAGAGCCTTCTCCTGAAGGAATTGTAGTATGCTCAAAAGACTAGAGAAAGCTTTCAAGTTTATACATCTCAAAATCTTGAGAAATGAATCTTCAAAGTTATCTTGAGACAATTTCCAAGAAGTAAAAACTTCGAGTATTCAAATCTCTAGCCCTATAAGTCGAAACGAAATAACCTCTGGTCAACTTGACCAGTAGTGACCGTAGTAAAGCCCAACAAAAGAAATTCTCCGAAATAAACCAATCCATAGTAGTACCTATAAGAGAGAGGCTGGTGGTGCAACAAAAAGGTAGTCGTCAGCCAGTCGACGTTTTTGGTTCATTCAGCCAACAGCATGTTCAAATTAACATCTGCCTCACAAACAATACTATAGGAAATGTGCGTACCGACCGGATAATTTTTTGAAAATGTGTGTAGTACCACCGATATCTTCTTCCTTTGGAGTCAGGCTTCAAGATAAGAACTTATAAATTGTATGTAGGATAATTTCAATTTTTAGTTTCTCAATGTCACTGTTTACTGGTCAAATGGGTCATCATCAAAAAAACAATGCAACAAATTAATTAAGAAGAAAGTTTATATATATATATATGAATGTGAAAATAGAAAGTTTGTCTACTATATTAATCTAGTTATTAGTACCTATGTAAACAATCTCAACAAAATGAAAATAAATGCGTGCTTCCTTCCTTTTGAAGGAGGATATTTTTAAGTTGAGAGGTTAATAGCCTCTAGTGCCTCTTGGGTTCAAAATGTTCTAATTTTGTACTAGGTTTGTTCAAGGCAATTTATTTCACATTCTAATCAATATCAATATGCTGATGAGATGAATCGTCCTTAACCTACATCATCACGGTGTTAATCAACAATGTTTGTAATAAATTTTTATTTGTGATAACCATGAACCCATTATGTCACCGGAATGATAATTAATTTCGATTGTTTGGAATCAATTTTGAAGTTGATTGACATTTTTTTTTTCTTAATTCCACAATGCTTCCAGTTCCAGCAGAGGTCTCGCCGCGTCAGCGCTCCTTTTCCAAAGAAGACTGGATCCTGCTGGAAACTATGGGTACCCTACCGTTGCCCCATAGTTCCGGCAAATTCCTGACGATGCACAAGCGCAGGCGCAAACGACTTACGACACGCAACCTCTTCCAAGACCACGCTATACTTGATGACATTCATCACGGACTGGTTCAGCGAATTTTGGACCGATGCAGCGCGTGGGCGTTCAACGCTTTCACTCTGGAAACTGTAGCCGGTGGCCGATCACTGCCCGTACTTTGCGTACACTTATTCCACTGGTACGGTTTACTAGAACATTTTCAGCTAGATGTGGTACGCGTCTGGAAATTATTCAGTGAGTACTTTATATATCAACCAACAATTAATTAATTATTGTTTGTTTTGTAGCTCTTATAGAGGAAGGGTACCACAGTACGAACCCTTATCACAATTCGATTCACGCGACTGATGTAACTCAAGCAATGCACTGTTTCCTGCAGGAGGAAAAGGTTTGGGTTGCGATTATTGCACCAACAACAAAATTAATTGGTTGGTTTTCAGATCAGGCGACACATGACTCCGCTCGAAATAATGGCGTCACTCATCGGTGCTGTCGCTCACGATCTGGACCATCCTGGAGTCAATCAACATTTTCTCATCACCACTTCGAATCATTTGGCTATTTTATATCAGGTACACACATATACAAGTTAGTGTTTGGCAACCGACTGGAGATACGTCAGTGTTGCCAGGTTATGCTCAGTGTCTTTGTGCGCAGATTTGTATCGCGGTGTTTCCGCATTTTGTTTTTTGTTCTTGATTATTGAGGTGTTGTATCAGTTGCCTATATATTGTCATACATACTATCAGTATGAGTAAAAGTTATATAGAGCGAGTAAGCGTAATAATGAGTGGATTGCTTTGTGTTTCGCGCAGTGTTTTGAAATCAATGAGTGGATATCTACGGGACGAGCGCAGCAAGTTCCGCAGCAATAATCCACTCATTATTAGGCTCACTTACTCCATTTTGTTCTACTCACATTATCAAAACTCCGGGAGGTCAACCACTATGCTTACAAATGTAATAATGATTTCCATGTTTGGCAATCACTGATCAATGAATCTCATGTATTCCCATCCCAAGAATTGCGACTGATTGCCATTTTCAGATATTTTTGTATGATTACCAGATGATTTCCCTGATTAAACTGAGGGGAAGTGGTGTCACAACTACTCATCGCGTGCAGAAACAAAATATGTTCCGATAGGGTTTTGTCTAGTAGGTGAGGATCGTAGATGAAGTGAGACGCCTAACCTTTTCCCGGTTTCATGAAAGAGGATCACACAGGCCAATCAAAATCACCAAGAGGTCGATGTTTTCTCCCACCACTGTCACGTATTTATTTGAAGAAGTCAACTTGAGTGTTATTATAATTATTAGAATATCAACATCTTTGCTTGCTGTGACTCAATGTTTGCTTCATGCAACTTCTTCACAAGCATAAATATCAACCGGTTCTTGTTTGTGGAATTTGCAAGAAAACTCTACTGCAAGACAGTGGGCTCCATCTGTTAAGAATAAATTAAACTGACTAGCAAAAGAAGAACTTACAGTACTTGCACAACTTTTATTTTATCCGCTGTTTCATGAATTCACCCTGTATCTCCGTATTTCTTCGTAAATTGTAGCAGGATAAAGTGGTTGAAAAAACTCAAATTCTATGTTCTTCTAGTTAACAGTTTCTCGTATTTTCAGCCTTTTTTGACTCCGTTTGACCGTGGTACCATTTGACCCGGTGTAATAAGAACCCTCCGTCAATGACAAAGGATAACGCACACCTAACATGGAATTTTTGGGCTCTATGGATTTTGCCCATTTTTTGATACGTTGTAGAGGATTTAATTCTGAACAACTTTTAAATGGGACGAAACCTTGTAGGTATTACGGTCTTTGAGATATGACCGCTGAAAGATGAAATTTCTTGTGACTTTTTGTGTGGAGAGTATAGGAGAAACTGGTATTATTTATCAGTCAAAATTTTGACAGGTCGACATATTTCACGTCATTGGCGCCAACATTAACCCCAGTGCGGTCCCAGCCTTAAGCTTCCTGGCCAGCTGCTTGACCGCTATCCAGTTTTCCTCCCTGTTTCCCATTTTTGCCAGAATATTCTCTTCGCATATTACTCGCTGCTGACGCCAGTGCCTGCAGTGGAAGAGGGTATGTGTCAGGTGAAAGTCCGTGTCCCCATGCTTTCTCTCCATCCAAGTCTTGATATTTGGGATGATCCTGTAGGTCCATCTTCCTTCCTTGCAGTTCTCCCACCTCTTTTGCCATTCTATCATCAGCAATTCTCCTGCTTCGGTCCGGGCGGCCTTCTTCTCTAGCGTAGGCGCCTTTGCTATTGAGGCAGGCCCCAAGGAGATCCATAGGGGGTGTCTCCGCTATTACTTGGATTGCGTCTGTAGACGGGGTACGGTAGGCGCTACAGATCCGCAGCGCAGCCTGTCTTTGGAGCCCCTCTACCAGTTCTCGGTACTTTCTCTTCCGCAGAGTTCTTTCCCAGACCGGAGCTGCGTATACCAATATGGATCTTGCGACCAAACACAAAAGTACTCCTTTTTCCGGGGTCAGGCCCCCCTACGTTGGGCATCCAGCCTTGCTAGTGCCGTCATTGCATTTCCCGCTCTGACGACAGTCTTTCTGATATGTGATGAGAAAGAGAGCTTGCAGTCCAGCCAGACCCCCAGGTACTTGATCTCAGCCGCCGCTCTCATCTCACTTCCTAGGATATTGAATGTTCTGTTTGGGACCGTCCTTTTAGATGTGAGTATCATGACCTCGGTTTTCTCTTTTGCCAACTGTAGGTCGTTGTGGTGTTAACTTTATTGCGTCCAGATCCTTGCCCATTATTACCCCTGATAACACAGGATTTTCCTGGGATACCCCACCAATGTACTATGAAAGTATGAATGTCCAGTACTTTGATAATACATTCTCAGAATGTTTCAGATAGAATAATTTCTGGAATATTTAGATGCAATATTCAAGGAATATCCCTCAAATATTCCCGTTTCTTAAAAATATTATTTTTTTCAAATTTGATTTTCTTTGTTTTGTGATTTCTTATTTATAATTCTCAGGCTAGCAGCATGCAGAAATAAAAAAACTTTTAAAAAATCCCATTGCCAGATCCAGACCAACGACCCAACTGCGCTTCATCTATCAACCAGTGTTGATCAATGACGATACCTTACCCATTTTCGACGTTGTCAGATTTATTCGGATGATTTTATTCCATATGAATATGATGATTATGCCTAGGGATTTTATAAATTTTCGAATTTTATATGTAATGTTTGTACAGGTATACAATAAATAGGTTGTAATTATATTATTTTAATCGTTTTATCGGAGGTCGGTTTTGAACGATAAACCGTTCGGTACTTGATTTGCTCGTATTTCAATATGGTTTTTCGTAGATTTTTCCCCGAAGTTCTCAAATAATTTTTCACTGGTTCTTCTAATTTTCGAGGTTTCTTTACACTTTGCATTTTTGTGTTAGGTAAGTACTACTGTGTAGCCTCTTCAGTAATTTATTCAGGAAGTTTTTTAGAGAAACTAATTTGATTTTCAAGTTACAGTGTTGAATATAGATCATACAGGAAAAAAAAGATTGTTAAGCAACTAATTATTGTCAAAGAAACAAATGATCTACTAGATGAGCATCAGCACCCGAAGCAGCATCCTTTCTCTAGTTCTACGCTCGTTTCTATGACTGAGAGGGCATTTTACTTGGCTACTTAAGATTCTAATCAGAAAACAGAAGATTTAAATCAGATACCTTCTACCGTTCTACCTAAACAAAGTATCAGCACGCATTAGACTCCTGAGAAAATGGAACTTTCGAGGAAACTGTTGATGCAAGTGTTAGATGTCAATTTACAATTTATAATTCGAGTAATACCTCTATTGCCACATCATCCGCATAGCCAATAAGGGTTACCTAGGCCTACTGGTTGTCAAATTCAGCTCTAGCAGACTGTCGTACATAATGTTCCACAGGGTAAGCCCCTGTGGTGCTCCCTTGGACATGTGGAAGGTTGACTCCTTACCTTCTGCTGACACGATGATGGTTCTATTCGAGAGGTAGCTCTGTATGAAGTTTACAGATAAAGGTCCAGTTCTCGTCTCTTTAGTTCTTGAACTATGCGTTGCCAGGATGCTGAGTTGAACGCGTTCTTTATGTTGAGGGTTATCATTACACCAATGAGTCTATGTCTGTGGCTTTTCTTGAAAAGCCCCTCTCTCGCTATTTCTAAAGCCTTTTGGATCTACGATATGGTGGATCTGCCCTTTCTAAAGCCATACCTATTGTTGTTTGCTTAGTGTCTCCGACAGCCGCAGGTTCTCTTCCATCCTTGATAGAGTTATGTGCTCCAGTAGCTTGTCGTTCCTTAGCCCCAGTCCTGCGTCCGACTTCAGATCATTGTGCCACAGTCCGTATTGTGTAGACCTTGGGTTGGGTTCTGATACTGCTAACACGTCTATGTCTAGCTGGATGGCTGTAACCCAGCCTTAACCTATGTTGACATGAAATGTCATTGATTAACATTAATTTTTGAAGTGACGTGAAATATGTGAACCTGTCAATATTTTGACTGATAAATACCAGTAGCATCAGTATCTCGTACTCTCCACCCAATAAGTCGCAAAAAAGTTTATCTTTCAACGCTCATATCTCAAAGACCGTAATACCTACACGATTTCGTCCCATTTAAAGGTTGTTCAGAGTTGAATCCTCTACAACATATCAAAAAATGGGCAAAATCCATAGAGCCCAAAAATCCCACGTTAGGTGTGCGTTATCTTTTTGTATCGGTCAAGTACGCCTATTCAGTAGGTACAAAAGCCTTGTACAAACTTGATTTGGTTCCATTTCTCATTTCATGCTTATCGAAAAGTGAGAGAGTGTAGGGGCTAAGTTCGTAACATAAAAATTATCGTAGCTCTTCATCAGTATGTTTCACGATGGTCATCGGTTGGGAAAGTGTGATAGGATTGATGACTACAGCCTTGTCTTCTATCTGGATCGAGCTGTTCATAATTGCAAGAGGCTGGGCTCTATCCCTTCGCTCGAATTTCACAGTTTTGGAGTTACTACCAACAATGAGCTGCATACTTTGAATACCAACTTCCTTCTATCATCTGCGACAAAACCTGAACTAAGTGACATCAAGTCAGTGGTCTCTAGAAAAGGATGATGTTTATGGAACCAATTCAGCAACTTTTTTGCATCGCGCATCTTCCATCTCTGCTGTCAAGGTGTTGTTCAGACGTCGCGTGTTCCGCTCCAGTGAAGTGCTCACTTTATGTAATGTTGTCATCCCTTGTGTCTATCTTGTTACAACACTTGGAGTTACTCGTCGGCCATGATCGACACCACCACTTGTTTTCATTGACTTCATCAGAGTTTGCTCGATCGTCATAGGTGCCGGACGAAAGTTTATCAGTTCTCCGAATGGTGAAACATCCTTCTGTAGTGAAACGCTCATATTCAGCAAGTGACGTTGTAGTTTTCAAGGCGAGCATATCCTAGAGGTATAGATGACTGCATTTAGCATACAAATTATGGCCACTGGCGTGAAAGAAAGGAATCATTCCATACATGGTTTAAAGGTGCGGTTCCCAGTCGCTGCTTCTTTCTGCTTCAATAAAGTGCTTCATCAAAGCACCATTTCGGAATATATACAACCCATGGCTTGGTAGTGGCGGGGCCACGTTTTGCCAAAAATTGAAGCTTACTTTTGATTCATCTTGCAGATCTTTCGCAATCTCATTGTGTTGAGCAAGATTTCCTTCAATTGATCGACCATTGTAGCTGACAGGACCATTTTGACCAAAGTTCTGTGGGCCAACATATGAGTTCATACTGCCCTTGCGTATGCGTGGCCGGTCATGATTTTTTCAGTTTAGTTTGCTGCAAATATTGTATTGAAAAGTTCAGTCAAACCACTACCCTGCATAATGAAACTAATTGACCCCATAAAATGACATCAGTAAATGGAATCCTCCTAGCCTTGTAGATTGTAGATTTCGGGGGAGTCGTTTAGGCTTTTCAGCCGCTCAGCACTGCTCCCTTTGCAGATATTTTGTGCATGACTCTACATCTTAATTTGTCTCCAGGAAGCGTAGACTTCTGCCGAAGGAAGCTATTTTCCTGGGTGTCAGTTGGCCCACTTGCCCTTGGTGTTGACCCCTCGAGGAATTTGAGCGTCTTGCAGAATTGGGCCGGACATTCGCAGAGCAGGTGCTCTGCGGTCTCTATTGCGTCTGAGCAGAATCTGCAGAGATCGTCTTCCGCTCTGCCCATTAACCTTAAATGGTATTTTACTGGGCAGTGTCCTGTGAGCAGTCCCACCACCAATCTGATGTCTGGTCTGCTCATGTTTAGGAGCTGTTCAGCTCTTTTTGCTGAAAGGGTAATGAAAAAACCTTTTTGACTGTCTGAGTCCCGGTGTGTGCCTCCAATATGATGACAGTTGGTCTCTCTCCCATTTGTTGAGTTCATCCATGATGTGGCTTTTCATTAAGCCACAGTAGGGCTCTGGTCCATGGTATGGTGTTGAGGCCCCTTCCTTTGTGAGGCCATCTGCTTCTTCGTTTCCTTCTATGCCTCGATGACCAGGCAGCCACATTAGCGTTACCTGGTTATGTGTCGCTAGTGTTTTTAGGGTCTGTTTACACTTCCAGACTAGTTTTGACGTGCATTTGAAAGCCCTTAAGACTTTTAAGGCAGCTTGGCTGTTCGATATTATGAAGATGTGTTTTCTTTTGAGGCTTTGGTTAAGACACTCTTGTGCACATATATCTATGGCAAGCAGTTCGGCTTGAAATATTGTAAGATGTTTACCCAATGCCTTGGAGAGCTTGAAGTTAGGGCCGGAAATGCCCAGTCCAGCTCCTTCCATTAGCTTGGATCCATCTGTGTACCACAGAGATGCATTGTCTGCTTGTGGCAATTCTTTATTCTCCCATGATTGGCGGTCGTTTATTACCACTGCGGAGGGGATCTCTGACCATCATGTGGTCACTTGGTTTGCTGGCATTCTCCAGTTTTATTAGATCAAGGATTCTCAGATGTCCCCTCAGATCGCCAGGCTTGAACTTGTCTATTTGCAATAGCCTGTGAGCCCTGTTCCAAATAATCCTCCTAGCTTTATTACATTACATTTGGAAGAACACGATCATCCGGACGGCTCTAGCAAGAATGTCTCGTTCCTTGAAATAGAGGGGTTGGTCAAATGTCACTAGGCTTGGTTAAAAGATTTGGACTTCTCTACTCCGGCCAACAATGTTATGAATATTGTATCTCATTCACTTGGAGGAGCATTAATAAATGGCTGATAGTTAATAAAAGTTACTTCATATGGTATGTTCATAAGGTGTTTTAAAATGTCCATTGAACGTTCTCAGTACAACTGTTACTGACGTTTTCAATATGTACATCAAAAATAAACCAAATTCTTATTCCAGAACATGTCAGTATTGGAAAATCACCATTGGCGATCGGCCGTCGGTTGTCTATTGGAAAGCGGCGTCGCAGAACAATTGTCGCCTTACAGAAATGAACTCGAACAACAAATAAGGGACCTAATTCTGGCCACCGACATCAACAGACAACAAGAATTTCTAAACAAATTCAGAGTAAGAATTCACACATAATCCATTATTCAATTTATTAGTTATTGTATTTGATAGAAACACATAGACGATAACACGTTGGACTTAAGACTACCCGAAAACCGTCAATTTATATTGCAAATCGCCCTCAAGTGTGCGGACATTTCAAATCCTACAAGACCTTGGGACATATCGCACAAATGGTCATTGAAAGTATGCGACGAATTTTTCCGGCAAGGCGAATTCGAACGCGAACTGGGCCTGCCTGTAACATCGATTTGCGACCAACAATCAACTTCTATTGCGAAAATACAAGTCGGTGAGAACAATAACTACTTTTCAATCGAACAAATGCTAATTAGTTGTTGTAGGTTTCTTTCGTTTTGTCGTAACACCGTTATTTTCGGAATGGCATCGGTTTCTGCGCAGCACATTGTCGACGCACATGATCGAAACGCTCAACTCGAACCGCAGGCGGTGGGAGGAGCAAGAACGCGCCGAACAAGCCGAAGAAACGCAAACTGAACTCAGCGACGCAGAACCGGAAATCAGCGAAGACGAAGAACCAACGAAACGATCGTCAGAGGCTAGTACTAGTTTGCACGATTTCATTCCACCGCCTCCTCCTTCGACGATTACGGCACGAAGACAATCCTTGGCAGTACCGACGCTGGAATCTTTAGGGGTACGACGGCATTCGGTTCCAGTTCACATGGAAATACCTCCTGGATCTCCGCAACGACATCAACCGGTACTTCCCAGAACGATTTATAGAAGAGAAAGCTTGCCAGCTTCAGCTACCATTAGGATTTCACAAGGTAGATCACCTGTATCGCCTCAAACTGAATCCAGAGCTTCCAGCGGACTAAGAGAAGAAGACGAATTGTTACATTACGGATCTCAATCTTCAGTTGTAAGCAGTGGAAGTCCATATCATTCATCAGGTAATTTATTTTTAAAATTAATTAATCAAACATCAGTCAAAGGAATTGTTTCTAGGAGACACACAATAATAATTAATAGTTATTATAGTTTTGTGAGTATTATTGATTGTTTTTGAGTTGATTTTTTTTTCTTCTGGCTTTGTTTTTTTTTTGTGCTTCAACTAATATCATTATAGAAGAACATCCAGATCGTCCTTTGAGTGCAGAAAACCTCTTGCCAGAACCATCAATAGCCTCGATGAGTAGTAGCGCGGCCATTCGTCATTTGACTTCGGTACTGCATGGTGCAACAGACAGAGCCTCTGGACCGTCAAAATGTCTCACCAGGCAGCAAACGTTTCCGCCACCTCAGCCGTTCATGCGGGTGAGATACATGAGCGCTACTGTGGAAATGAGTACTTGTCCCGAGGGCGATACTTCGTCGCAAAGTTCGCACGAGAATTTGTCGCAACATCAGCCCGCTAGCTATACTATACCGGCGATAGCTGTGTTGAGTCCGAATAATAGTCGGCCGCCTGATTTGCTTTTGCCTGGTGAATCCAAAAGTTTTAGGTGAGTATTTTGTTTATACCAAAGGAAACTTATTATACAGCCAAAATTTTTAGCAATAACAACAAAAGGGAAACTGATATAACGGGAAGTGAGAAGGACAAGGAGAAACGAGTCAAGTTGTCGGAAAGTAGCGGGTCGTTTTGCGAAAAGGAAAACATGGATCCAAGGAAATTACAAACAGCTGTAAGTCAATGTTGCAATAGTTGTTTGATTCGACCTTTTAGGCAGATTCTCCAAAACCTTATGTTAAGCGAGATTAGATAAGATTAAATTGGAAAATGTTGGTAGAGTTATCGGTCTATATGACTTGAGTGTCCAGTGTTTTGCCTACTTTTGGCAAATATACCTAAGTCTTTTACCTGCTATCACCCCAAGCCAGACAGGCTCTGTACAATCTGCATAGGTGTGGCATTAGGATGTCCTGTCTCTTTTGCATTAGTACAGGATATAGTTCGTCTGGATTTGGTGACTTGAATGGTTGAAATGGATTAACCTTTTTGGGTGTTACTACATCTTTAACTGTTTCCCACTACCGTCTCCCTGGTCTCCGCAGCCTTGCTTTGGCCGGTAGGTTAGATCCGAATGGGTCATTTACAAACTCGACTTTTTTATTTTTTTATTTTGCTCAATTTTGACTTTACCAATCGATAAAGCGGGCCAAAATTAGTGGAAAACAACTCTGATATCAATTCCGAATGGCCATTTTAAGCAGAGACAAAATTAAAAAGGAAAACCAATTTTTGGTTCTAAAAAATGTTCAAAATCTTGACATGGTTATACACATAAATTATACACCATTAAAAAGAGCATTAAATTCTCTATAAATCCGTGCAAAATTGAGTTCGATAATTCAAATAGTTTTTGAGCAATTGACCTTCAAAGTTGGCTTTTAGTCCAAATTTTGTCAAAAACTTCAAACTCGATTTGTTTAAAAACTATAAATCTGTAAATATTGTAAATTACAGGCCATTGGCACCTTAATAAGAGCTAGGAATGCTGAAAATTTCGATGCAATTTGGTCAACGGTTACCCAGCAATTGAGGTTTGAATATTTTCAAATAAGAATTCAAAGGGGATACCCTTATGAAAAACTCGATTTTTTTATTTTTTAGTTTTGCTCAATTTTGACTTTACCAATCGATAGAGCGGGTCAAAATTAGGGAAAAACGACCCTGACATCACTTCCAAATGACCATTTCAACCAAAAACAAAAATGAAAAGGAAATCCTTTTTTTTGACTCTGGAAAATTTTCAAAATCTTGACATGGTCATGAACAATTGCCCATATCTTTGTTAAATTTCGAGTAATAAGTTATACACCATTGAAAAGAGCATTAAATTCTCTATAAATCCGTTCAAAATTGAGTTCGATAACTCAAATAGTTTTTGAGCAATTGACCCTCAAAGTTGGCTTTTAGTCCAAATTTTATCAAAAAATTCATGGTCTAGGGTGGTATAGGAAACTGTGCTTCCATGAGCAGTTTCAGACTTTCCTCGGCTGTTTTTGTATATGTGTTGTCTTCCTTTTTGAGAAATTCAACATGTTTTGCTTTATTTTCTTTCGTTAAGACCTTGTGAATGGGTTATGTGAGACCACACCTGCACACATTAGCCGCTTTCCAGCTGACGCTTTGAGCACGCAATCGAGCTTTTGCGCGCGCAAATGCTTCAAGCGCGTGTTCGTGTTCCAGCCGTACTGCTCTTCGAGAGCTGCTAACTTTTGCGTTTCAAACACAAAACACTATCCTGCACCGTGCTTGAAGCACACAGCTGGAAAGCGGCTATTGAAACTTCTCCCAAAATTTGTCAAATTCCCTCAATATTGCATTAATCAAACAATCCTGGAAAAATAACAGGATAATAGCCTGAAAAGAAATAGAAATATGCTTGGAAATATCTTAAATATATGGTTTCTGGATCACTCAAATCACTGATATTTTAGTAAATCCAATATCTTATTTCCTAAATATCTATTTAGTATATTCGGCCATCGTTTCAATACATATATTCGGCCTCCAAAAAATCATAATATGTGGATTTCATCTTGATCTATATGTTTTTCAGCTGAAATCCAAAAACCCTTTTACAACAATCAATGAACTTTTGAGTAAAATATGGGCGCCATTCATTGGCGTATCTATAAGTTTGTTCAAAGGAATTAAATAATAATTATTATTTCAGCAAAGTACACCAAGAAGAGGATCCGCACCAGTATCCTTGCCCTTATCCAAGCCGGAATCCTCTGCAGGCGGAGGATTCAGCGCTTCCGAGGTGCAGGCGTTGCGCAGAGGCTCGGTACCAATCGAATTGGTACACCATTTCAGTGAGTACCTACATTTTAGCACAGAAATAGAGATTCAGTTGGTTTTATCAGTATTCTTACCGTTAAAAATGTCGGCGGAAGAGGGTTTTACCAGTGCACGCCTCTGAATTTCCGCCATTAACGCGGTTCGAAGTTATAGAAAAGCAAATTGGACCCTCCTTTCTGTATTCCTTCTGATTGTTTGGTACTCTGTCATTACTCGAATTATTGTTTTCTCAGGAAGTTTCGATGAAGACAACGGAAACGAACAACCGTCATCGGGTCACATACGCAACATCACTCCAGTGGAAACGAACCGGACATTTTGGCTCTACCAAAGACGCGGTTCCGCTCCGGTCGATCTACCGCCGAGCGGAAATCGCTACGAGTTTACTCGTCATACTAGTCTAAACGGCAAGGTAAATATTTCCATGTGAAAGTTGCTGGGCCATCAAAACAACCCAAAACCCAAAGTTTTGTTGGGTTATTGAAACTAAACCAAGGTTACTATTAATAATGTATTGTTTCTTTTAGGCAAGCAGAGGTCGTAGCAATAAGAAACAGTTGCGCAGGCGCAGCAGTGGCGGACCGGAAACGGTGACCGGCGAGGGCGGGGCTTCGGACGTGCTGGCACGGTTCTGCGCACAAGCCCAACTGCACCGACGCCCCTCGGAGAGTCCCGATGCGCTGCTGGCTCGGCGCCGCGGCTCTTTGCCGCTCGAAGTACTCGCCGTCGGTCACTCAGGTTAGTATTGTCTAGATATGTTCCTGTTAACTCTATAAGGGTCTTTTGATTCGATTCAAATGACCTTTGGTTAAACTAACAGTGACTTAAAGTTAACTTTTTTCTGGTCGATGTTAGCTAACAGAGAAAATTAGAAGCGTTGGAATGTAATACAATTTTTAGACTTTAACGTATGAGTCGTGGACTGTGGTAAAAACGAAGAAAGGACCCCACAAAAGCCAAGCCTCTGTAAGGACGTCACAAGGGCATTGGCGCTTGACAATAATAGTTTATAATTCTTAGTTTGTGTCAATCGTTCGTCGGCTGTCATTGTCATTGGCTGTCTTTCTCCGTCCCTCTACGTTACATATATTTTTCTCTCTCGTCTAACGAAATTTGCGAAAACGTGACGCGTCTTTCATATCACGCCCCATTCTCGTCCAATTATCAGACAGCCGCACAAGAAGTTTCACTTCAAAAAATCGAGTTTTCATAAGGGTTCCTTTGAATTCTGATTTCAAAGTCTTCAAACCTTGATTGCTCGGTAAACGTTGAGCAAATTGCATTGAAATCTCCAGCATTTTGTAGCTGTTATTGAACTCTAAATGGCCTGTTATTTACGATATTCCCAAATATATAGTTTTTGAGCAAATTGAGTTTGAAGTTATTGACAAAATTTGGACTAAAAATCAACTTTGACGTTCCATTGCTCAAAAACTATTTGAGTTATCAAAATCAATTTTGCACAGTTTTATAGAGAATTTAATGCTCTTTTCTTTGATATATAATTTATTTCAATTTGCTCAAAATGTAACAAAGATATGGCAATTGCTCATGACCATGTCAAGATTTTGAAAATTTTCCACAGCTAAAACAAGGATTTCCTTTTTAATTTTGTCTCTGCTTAAAATGGACATTTGGAAATGATTTCAGGGTTCTTTTCCACTAATTTTGACCCACTCTATCGATTGGTGAAGTCAAAATTGAGCAAAACTGAAAAATAAAAAAAATCGAGTTTTTCATAAGGGTAAGTACCCCTTTGAATTCTAATTTCAAAATATTCCATCGTCAATTGCTCGATAACCGTTGAGCAAATTGCATTGAAGTTTTCAGCATTTATGACTCTTATCAAGCTCTAAAAAACCTGTAATTTACAATATCAGGCTTATAGTTTTTGAGTAAATTGAATTTGAAGTTTTTGACAAAATTTGGACTAAAAATCAACTTTGAGGCTCAATTACTCAGAAACTATTTGAGGTATTGAACTCAATTTTACACGCATTTATAGAGAATTTATTGCTCTTTCCAATGATATATACTTTAGTTTAATTTGCTCAAAATTTAACAGAGATATAGGCAATTGCTCAAGATCATGTCAAGATTTTGAAAATTTTCCAGAGGCAAAAATAGGATTTTCTTTTTATTTTTGTTTCTGCTTTAAATGGCCATTCGGAAATGATATCAGGATTGTTTTCCACTAATTCTGACCCAATCTATCGATTGGTGAACTCAAAATTGAACAAAACTGAAAAATAAAAAAATCGAGTTTTTCATAAAGGTTCCCCCTTTGAATTCTGCTTTCAAAATATTCAAACCTCAATTGCTCGGTAACCGTTGAGCAAATTGAATTGAAATTTTCAACATTGGTAGCTCTTATCAAGCTCTAAATGGCCTGTAATTAACAATATTATCAAATTTATAGTTTTTGAGTAAATTGAGTTTGAAGTTTTTGACAAAATTTGGACTAAAAGTCAAGTTTGAGGGTCTATTGTTCCAAAACTATTTGAGCAATCTAACTCAATTTCACACAGATTTATAGAGAATTTAATGCTCTTTCCAATGGTGTATAATTTATTTCAATTTGCTGAAAATTTGACAAAGATATGGGCAGTTGCTAATGACCATGTCATGATTTTGAAAATTTTTCAGAGCCAAAAATACGATTTCCTTTTTAATTTTGTTTCTGCTTATAATGGCCATTTGGAAATGATGTCAAGGTTGTTTTCTACTAATTTGGACGCGCTCTATCGAAAAATAAAGTCGAAATTGAGCAAAACTGAAAAATTAAAAAATCGAGTTTTTCTTAGGAGTACTACCTCCTTTGAATTCTAATTTCAAAATATTCAAACCTCAATTGCTCGGTAACCGTTGAGCAAATTGAATTGAAATTTTCAACATTGGTAGCTCTTATCAAACTCTAAATGGCCTGTAATTTATAATATTCCCAGATTTATAGTTTTTGAGCAAATTGAGTTTGGAGTTTTTGACAAAATTTGGACTAAAAGTCAACTTTGAGGTTCAATTGCTTAAAAACTGTTTGAGCAATCTAACTCAATTTTGCATAGATTTATAGAGAATTTGATGCTCTTTCCAATGGTGTTAAGTTATTCCAATTTGCTTGAAATTCAACAAAGATATGGGTTCTGATAATTGGACAAGAATGAAGAGTGATGTGAAAGACACGTCACGTTTTGGGAAATTTCGTTATACGAGAGATGAGAAGAAAGATATATAACGATAATTACAGCCCACGAACGATTGACACAAATCAAGGATTGCCTATTATTGTCAAGGGCCGATACCCTTGTGACGTCACTACAGACGCGCGACTCCCTTTTGTGGTGTCCTTCGTCTTTACCCCGACTCAGACGCTGTCGTATGGTTAACTAACAGAACCTTGTAGTTAGCTAACAGAGGAGGTCGAATTAAACCTGTAAACGGTCTGGGTTAAGTTTTAAGATCTGTCTGTTAGTAAACGTCAACTTAACTCATTGTTAATAAATAACAAGCTGTTAAGTAACAGGGACTTTTTTTGATATTATTTCAGCTTTCATAGTTAATAATTAATTTTTCTTTTTGTTTTAGTGTTTTGACGATTGCGCCATTAGGGCCCCAAAGGACCAACCAAAAAAACGGACGACATGTTATTTTAAAAAACAAAAAAATAAATAGCGTTTTTCATACACACAAACACACAAAAGTTTTAGCTCATTAGCGTTTAAGTATCATTAATCGTAAAAAAAAGTAATAACGTATATTCGTAATTTAATCGTAAAACTATGGAACAAGCCAAATATTCATGTGTATTCAGTGTCTTTTTTCGCATCTTATAAAATGTTGGTCAAAGTGAAGAAGAGCGACTTTTCAAAACGAATATTTTTTTAAACGATTTTCAAGTTTTAGTTTAGATTTAGGCTCGAATTGCGATTTTCTTCACTCTTCCAATCTCATCTCGCGGGCATCCATTATTGAATCGTTTTTGTGTATTTCATGAAAAAAAATCGAGTGAAATTATTGAATGTCAGTTAAATGTATCTTCTTGGATTTAGCTAATAAGGACCCCATGATTTATATTTATTGTGCAATTTTTACTGTACCTATGTTTGTTTGTTTTTTTTTAAATTATTGTTGTGGTGCTGCAATATCTAGTTTTATTTTTCAAATGAGTAATAATGGTTTATGCGGTGTTTCCTAAATTTGGATTTTGATGTCAAGGTTTTGTCCAATTTGCAAATCTGATGAATATAATCATTCAAATCTTCGAAATATTAAAATTCAAATTAAGAAAAAAAAACCCAATTCGTCGTTAATTTGACAAAGGGACGTATATGAGAAATAAGCGATTTTTCGTTTTCAGGGAATTTATGTCGCAAAACATCAAAATTATACGCCCTCTAATTGGCGCATATGAACTGCCAGTAGTTTCTGAGTTATACACATTTTTCTTTTAGACGTATGTTTTGAAACAAGAAATATGTATCTTCCTAAAAGGCGTATATCATATACGCTGGCGTTGGCTTATATAGTAATACATACGCCTTTTTGCTGACGCGCACCAAAGCTGTTTTAAACTAAAATTTAGCTCATATCGGAAGACATTAGTCAGTCAATTTACTGCACTTGTTCGCGTTTTGGTTTGTGTTTTTATTGCTTTTCTAACAAACAAAGATGGATGTTCTAATTAAATGGACAGGCAGCACACAAAATATTGTGGATTCGCGACAGATAGTGGTTTTGGGCAAAAATAAAACTCTAAAAGAAGGCAGTTATGTGAAAATGTGGTAGGTATGAAAAAAAAAATGGTATTGTGGATCTGTCATAGCTGTAGAGAAAAATGAGGACTATGATGATAAGTCAGCTACATTACCATATAGTGATTATTCTAGTGATGAGGAATCGAATTTGCCAATCAAACTATAAGAAAAAAATGATTTAAACAAGCCAGTAGTCGGCAATGAGGCTAAATCATAATTAGGTATAGTAGTAGAGAGTAGAGAAGCCCTAACGATAGGTATGCCTTAAACTGACATTTGTCCATGAAAAAATGTCATTTTAGGGAATACTTATCGTTATGTTTCCCCTAAAATAGTTGGTGGAAACGGCCATGAGTCAACCGTTTATTTATATTAAGTTTGATTCGTAAAGTTTATTCTTAGCAGCAAAACATGATACAATCAAAATTTTATTAATTTTAATATTATGCAATAAAAATGTATTCTAATTTAGGCAGATGTGTTTTTTAAAAATTCCAACCACTCTACCTTGTTGCCAATAAACTACAAATCATTAAGAGAGTATAAAAAAAATAGTTGCAAACCTGTACAAAGGGCAGTATATGACTTATTTTGGGAGGCGTATGTGAAACGTGCAAAAATAAAATTTTGCAAAGTGGCGTAAATGTATTTTTTTCAAAATTTTCAGACCAAAAATGAAAGTATTCTACTTTTATGAACAGTATTCCAAATACCACTTAATAGCCTGTATGTACACCAAAAGACATTTTAATATCTATTTTGGTTTTTGACTCATAAGCTTTCAAATTTATTGAAAAAATCAAATGCTTGTCCTGAAAAATTAATAAATTCAATATACGCCCATTAGTGAAATTAACGACGAATTGTGCAATCTTTTATTATACACGTATAGGTTTATTGAAATTTGTTGCCTATATAGACTGGACCATCCTACTAGACACATAGTAATAGGAGGAATAAGTTTTTCCAATCATGCCTATTTTTCCGGGTATCAGTCAACTGGTCGCATAGAAGCTTATGTGCAAATTCCTGTTTTGGAATTTAGGAGAATGCTAAGAACATTTGTCAGTTTGTTGTTTGTGGTACCTAACTGGAAAGTTTGGTAACTGGGGAGTAAGAACCACTTAAAGTTCAGATATCAAAAACAGCACTATTCATGAAAAAAAAGGCAAGATACTTACATACAAAAACAAAACAAAACTTGCAAAGTTTGTGGAACTCTCCAGATTCACTTCACCAGTTTACGACACTTTTCCGGCCCCACGACGTTGGGCGCCAATATAACAAATCACTGTTAACACAAGTTTCATTCGATATGTTTAAGGAAAAAGCTCAGATTTCAATAAATAGGGAAAACAGCATTATTTATGAGAGTCTTAAAGTTCAGATTTCAATAGATAGGAAAAACAGCACTATTTATGAAAGTCTTAAAGTTCAGATATCAATGAATAGGAAAAATAGCACTATTCATGAAATAAACGATACTTACATACAAAAACAAAACAAAACTTGCAAAGTTTGTGGAAACTTTCCAGAGTCACTTCACCAGGTTATGACATTTTTCTGGCCCCACGACGTTGGGCGCCAATACAGGGTCCCAATTATTTTATAGGGACAGTATTGCTATCTTGGGACCGGTTAAAGTTACGAGGGCGTTTAAATTAGAAAAAAGTTGCCATTTTAGAAGAATATTGAAAATATATTTTCATTGTTGTCAAATTTCAATTAGTTTCGTAAATACAGGGTGATTTTTGAAAATTTGCAAAAACAATTTTATCAAATATTTTGAAATCTATGGATTATAGTGACATTCTTCAAAAATGGAAACTTTTTTCTAATTTAAACACCCTCGTAACTTCAACTGTTCCCAAGATAGCAATCAATGCTGTCCCTATGAAATAGTTGGGACCCTGTATAACAAATCACTGTTAACACAAGTTTCAAATTTGGTAATTAAACTGTCGATGACAATGTGTCTGGTATAGATCGTAGTATTTGACCCACTGTCGATGACCTAGACGCTAATAATTATAATCAATGATTTCGATATACATACATTTTAAATTTAGACATTATATGTGTCTAGTAGCCTGGCCCTATCTGTATATACCATTTTAATTTAGATTTTCTTCTCTAAGGCGACGCGCAATTTTATTATCATTATCGTCTTATAAGGGTCTCCAATAAGAAAAATCTTCCTCTGAAAAAAAATTGTTAAGGTGACTGTTCAATGTGATTGGTTCCCTCCTCCGCTCCCTCTTTTTTCGTAATGTAATATCGTGATTGTACCTACTTGTACTGTAGGATCTGTGTATTGTAGTTAGAGGGCAAACACTATCAAAGTGGTTTGCCTTCTAAAAATATTATATCATTGTAACGCCCCAAAAATAATTTTTTTTTTAGGAAATAGGCCACATCCTATAGGAAATAGTTGTTTGTTAAAAAACGGAGGTGAATATTTTGGGGCTGAAATGTGTAAGGCCTAAATGAACATGTTTCGGTGCCAAAAAACCTCCAACTAGAATTCATATAATATGTCACCCAAACCCAATAAACCAAATATATTTAATTTTCCTCTAGGACCATACATTTCTTGATTGAAGAATCAAGTATATTTATAACAGGGTTTCAAACAAAAAATTGGTAAAATCAAAATAAGACTGGTAGAAAAAAAAAAAAAAAAGAAATTTGACATTAGGGAGATATGTACAAGATGTGAGCCAATAGGTCAAAAATTAAAAAAATGTAATGATGTTACGCTTAATACGCAATCTACGATAAATTGATTGATGAAAAATAAAACATTCATGTTTTTATGATAATATTACCAATTTATTTCGTAATTTGACCCATCCAATCCTTTTTGAGCAGCCAAAATGACTCTAACTTTATCCTTGGAGCTTTCCACTTTGAAAATAACTCCATCTTGAGGAATAGTTTTAGCTTCAACTACTTTAACATCTTTTAAATTTAGTTTATCTTCAATTAAACTTTGAACAAACGATTTTGCAGTCGAATAGATTTTTAGTGAGTATCGGCCGAATACTTTCAAAGTCCTTGCATTGTAATCGTCTCTTTGAAGCAATTCCGTGAGGATTTTATTTTCGTTTTGTAGTTGTATATTTTCCTCTGCTAATTCGACAATCCTATAGGAAACGTTGAGGTAGAGTTGACAACATACGGATGTTTCAACTTTTGGCAATATGTCTGCTTGTTTAAGGCAATTCAATGGTTCCCAATCAGATATTTCTATGGAATATTGAAATAATTTGCATTGAAATAAATAGAAATCACTTACCATTAATAATGAAGCTTTGTTTACTAATTATAAATCCTAATTTGTTTTTAGTAAAAATGGCCCAATAAGAGATTGTGTCTCCTATTTTTAGTTCAACATCTTTTTGTTCAAACACCCAATAGTTGCCACATTTTTTGGTCACTTGTCCATTTTCGATGACGTTTTTATTGATTTCTACGTGAAATTCAAACTTTTCAATGCCTTGTTGATCAACCAACAAGGCCCTAAAGCCTTTTTTGAATATTTGAAATTCTAGATTAGAAGTATTACAGTCACTTTGCACGATATTAATTAAAAATAATGCTATTAATACGCAATTAGTCAATATGCAGAACATTGTAAATGGAATCTTTGGATTAAATAAAAGTTTGCTTTTATAAAACTGGTTTAAAAATAAAAAGGTTTATAAGGGGCCAGTCCAGTGAGAAATATTCTCAATATTGATGAGCCAACGATGTTCGATTTGAATGTTCCTGGTAAACATTCGTGACCTTTAACGACTGGTTTTCCCCTTGCGTTCTCAGTTATCTTGGGTCATGTAAATATATTTGGATTAATACAGAAAAAAACACAAACAACTTTGCATGTTTTGATGGTCTTTATGATTTCATCTTAGTCATTTGTAAGAGGCCAATTCCAAATGACGACATCGCATTTTCGGACAAAAGACCACTTTTCTATATGCATAAAGACGTCCAAATGACGCACCTGAGTTATTTTGAATAGATTTACGTCAATTAACCAAAACTCGACGTCGGAAAGAAGTTTCAAAATATGACTTATTGCTTGGGAAGTCACGTAGTGGTTGTTTATTTGACCATAACATGATTTAACATGAGGCTTAAAAGTTACCTACCATGTTAATCCCTATAAGGCCTATTCAGTAAAAAAAGCTTGTACTAAGATGTCAATAAAACGTCTATTTGACGTTGTTGAATTGGACGTATATTTTGGTCAGTGTGGATTGAAAAGTTATCATTCTCAGAATCAGAATTATTCCAGGTTTTTCATCACATTTTCCAAACAATCTGAATTTGGTATTTTGTGTATTTCCCACAGTAAAGAAGGATTTATTTATCTCAATATTATTACACCTAATTGATGAATCATTATCACTGAAGTAAGAATTGTAAGGGTAAGCACATAGTGGAGCGACGAGCAAAGTAGTGAGCAGTGAGGAGAGCAATGCAGCGAAAAGTAACACACGAGATTAAATTGTTTGACACATAGTGAAGAGCAGTGCAGAGATTTAGCAGCGCTGTTAATATCGAGCAAAGCGACGCGTTCAAGCAAGTTTGATTTTTCTACTTTGCTCGTTTGTCTCTGTATTGTAAAAATGTACGTTGAACAATCAATAAGTAGTATTTTTGTTATATTAGATAAGTTGTGGGATGATGTAGCAGGAGAAATGAAGTCAACAAGTAAGTGAAAAATGTATTATATTATTAATTGATTGATTGCTGCTGGGTGAAATTTTTCTGGATGTTGCGGTGATTCCTCATATAAATGGTGATATATTCGCCTAATCGAAGTCTGCTTCTGTTTATATGGTGTGCACTACACCTTCTTATTTTCTTTCTGCGTCTTTTCATTAAATAGCAAATTTTTAAAGACGACGCCGACGTTTCAGTTGAAACCAAATTATTCATTTTTATCTTTTTCACTCGAGTAGTAACCCGCCACTATGTGCATACAATTCTTTCATCCACTCTCTGCTCACTTGACGCTCTGCTCTTCGCGCTGCTCGCTGCTCTGCTTACCGCTCCACTATGTGCTTAGCCTAAGAAAAAAAGGGACCAGGGTAATGTAAACAAGCTATCGTACCTTTCTTTTCTTATTTATTTTTATATTCGTCATTCGACAATAGACTATTGCAAAGGAATGATGAGCTATTGAAAAAATAATAATCAAGCTATGATCCTAACTGCTTTTTAAAGCTACTTCTAGTTGAGCAAGTTTGGTATTGAGTTTTGAGCATTTGGCTGTAGATGTTTTCAAAAACTTCCTCTTATTGAAGTTGCGTTTCACTGATATCCAGGGCAACAAATCATGGTTTGATTATTTCTTTTTGGTAATTGGTGTCCCCTAGGAAAGCCGTCCACCATAATAGGTTAGGATCCCATTTGTTGCACGATTATACTATTTAAGGTGAGTGTAGCAGTGGGGCACTACCGAATACCGGCGAGAAATGGTTGAATTATGATTTGCTGTTGGGTGTCAGCAATGTGGTTTCAAGTGAATTCAGCCTAATGAGGCTTTAATAGAATAGAAATAGCTGAATGCTCTCCAACTTTGCCAGGCAAAAGTGTTTTTTCTCCGAATGACAGTAAAAGCGGCAATTTGACAGGATCAAAAGTTGTATTTCTACTGCCTAGGCAGTAAAAGTGGACTTTTACTGCCTAGGCATTAAAAGTGACAGTGTCACAACGTTCCAGGTAATAATTTCACTCAATTTGGTATTTGAAATTGATGGTGACAATGACAATTGTGTCAAAATAATTTGATTATTTGGAAAATAATAATGAATGAAATAAATATAAAAAAGATGTTCATGTGTGAATTTGAACATTCGGAGAAAAAATTATATGTTTTACATGGCAGAAAAGCAGATTTAATGCCTCGGCTGATTTCCTAGCCTCGGCTATGAAACACCAGCCGCGGCATTAAATCTTGTACTTTTCTGCCTAGTAAAACAAATAACTATTGGTGGTTTCCGGATGACGAGTGAAGTGATCATGTTCTATATTGTGACTGAAATGGTCTTATTTGAAGGGGATTATTCCAGGAGACGAATATGGCAAGTATAGATACTTTTTTCTTGTGACTAGTTTAGGTTGGTATTATTAAAAGTATTAATCTTTTGCTTGAGAATAGCATTTTTCGGGAAAAGAAAAGATGCTCGATTTTGCCACTAGAATATCTAAGACTTATGCCCGTATCACATCTGTGTATTTTTCCGTGTATTTATTTATTCATGTAGTTCAGGGTGACAACCGAAAAACTTCAAACGCAACATGAACCAGCATTATGAAAAACAGAATTATGTTGACACCCTAAACTACATAATGAGTATTTTATATTATATTTCAAGTATCTACTTATACTTCATGCCACTTTACTTGAAGCTCACTTTCTTTATTTGAAGTAAATTACTTAATGAAATTCAAGTAAATTTCAAGTTTACTTGATAATCAAAGTATAATTTGTACTTGTACTTCAAGTAAATCTATTAAATAATGCCGGCTCTGCGTTTGAGCAACGCATATTGAAACTTTACCCAAGGATTCTTGTATGACAAAGTCAGATATACCTACACACTATAAGAATAGTAGGTATATTTTTAACAGATAGACAAATCCAATCTACAACAAAAACTAAAATTGGTTTTGTTTGAAGAAGAGTTTAGAATAGAAAACTGCAATTCTGTACTCAATTTAAACTTTTTCTTATTTGCATGTAGTTTTCGAGATTCTTATACAAGCGGGTGTCCGTTTTAAATGATACAACTATTCCTATCTCAGAAACGGTGGGAGGTACGAGGTCGGTTGAATTCCTCTTAAATTAGACAAAAATGGCAGATTTCAGTGTCCATTGAGGGTAAGTTCACAGGGAAAATGTTAACACAACATGTCATGTGAAAATAAAAATTACGCCATTATGTAGAGGAGAAGAAATCTTGAAACTTTTGTATTGAACACTTTTTTCTAAAATTGATAGATTTTGAAATATTCATTAAATAGGTTTTAGGCATTTTTAAAATTTCCCCTCATATCTCGGAAACGCACAAAAATTTGGCAACCTTGTGAACTTACCTTTAATAGATGAAATGTATCAATTTTTTGTCTCTTCTTCGTCGCTCTTACTGACGAGAAGATATAGCAAGATGAGGAGTATCACTCAAAACGGACACCCTGTATACTTAGTAAATATCCGAAAAATAACTCACCCTGTACAGATAAGCTGTCAGGTACTTGGAGAAAAATACTTGAAATTGTACCTACTTCAATCAAGGTCTTATAAGTATGCAAAAAGTACTTGACGTACATGGAAGTTCTTTTATAGTAGTTACACCAAGTACTATAAAAGTGTACTTGAAGCTCGACTTGAAGTAAGTACTTTATATGCTCAAATATTTACCAAATTATTAATTATATATCTACTCCAATTACTCAAGGTATCCCCATAGTAAATTTACCTATCATAAGTAATATTCTATAATTTAGTGAATATTGAAACACTTCTCATATCTTACTTCATGTATTGATTGTAAAGTAAAATGCTTATAAAAACCCAGTACTCATCAGGTACCTATCTACAGTATGGGTCTTTTTCACTCAGCTTAACTGTAAATAGGTACCTATGCCTATCATTGGGTATTTCATTTAATATGGTTCGATAGAGTAGGTATTCTAGTAACCAGACATTAGAGGCTGCTTATAGGGTTCTTGATTAATTTTCGACAAAGGTTCCATGAATTGTCATGTTTTATATTTATGAGAAAGACCCGTTATAATGTATTTGACGTGCAAGTACTTAAAATACTCCGATTGTACTCCAAGTTGAAGTTGAGAACTCTGAAAAATTTCAGTAAGTATAGGTACTTTTATTAAGTACTTGGTAATTGGAATAAATACATTTGAGAAAAAAATGTACTCTGTACTTCAATTACTTCCACAAAACTTTGAGTACTTTGTATTTTGTACTCCAAAGTAGGTACCTAACTACTTTAGTACCTAATGTATATAGGTACCTACTTGTAACAGCTCTGACCGTATAGGTATATTAAACGAGTGCGCAATGGTAGTTTTACTTGATAAAGGCGCAAAGTTATGTTTTTCCGCACGCGATAGCAGTAAGCAGTTAGATGAATAAGAGCTTAAGTGCGGAAAAACTACTTTGAATCATACGTATTAAAGGACGTTGTGGTCAAAATATTCAATACCTACACAAAAATGTAATAAAAATAAAAAAATACATCGATATTGGAGAAGATAAGAAAAAAAATCGGGAAAAAGGGTGCGCAAAGTAATTTCTTTGCGGTCACTCCTATTGTACAAAAACTCTTATTAAGTGTAGGACAAAAATGGACGCGATTCTTCTTTTTTTTTCAATTTTGCCGCTGGCCTTTGCTACCGAAACACATTTGAAAATTTTAAAGTGAGGTTATGTCAAAAAAAAAAAAAGTAAACAACTCGACTAAAAGAACTCCTGTGATTGTGATATAAACTAAAAAATTCAATTATAACAACAATATGAGTGCTATTACAACTATAGACTATCTACTGCCAGGCGAAATAGTCGACAATCTAAAATCAAAAGACAGGCACACCATAATAGGCCCAGGCCTTCGCAGAAACGAAGAAAACCCCAACAAAAGCCTCATTGTAACTCAAGCAGGTTGGCTCCGGTTTAGATCTCCGAACACTTATTGGATCGACAGCAGAAGAAACAGGTACATACCGAAAAAAGGCGACCTCGTCATTGGAATAGTAACGAAAAAATCCGGCGACATCGTAAGAGTGGACATTGGCAGTGCAGAAACCGCAAGTTTGTCCGTGTTCTCGTTTGAAGGGGCCACAAAAAAAATGAGGCCCGATTTGAACATCGGAGACATCGTTTATGCAAAACTATTAACCGCACACAAGGATATGGAACCGGAATTGGTTTGCATCGATCAATATTTCAGAGCGGGCCGTCTAGGGATTTTATCGAACGACGGGTTTTTGGTTTGTTTGAATTTAAACCTGGCCGAGACATTATTGAATGCAGAAAACCCTCTATTGAGGACCCTTGGCAAGAAATTTCCTTATGAAATTGTTATTGGGGTTAATGGTAGGGCCTGGATCAAAGCTAATCAGGCCAAAGATGTTTTGACTATTTGTAAAACTTTTGAGGTTGCTAAAAATGAGAGTGAGAAAAGTATCATTGAAGCTTGTAGACAAACTAAATAAAATAGAAATTTTGCCTTAAGAAACAATTTTTTTTCTACCCAAAGTACCCAATACTACTCTTTCAATTAATTGTAGAAGGTAGAAGGTACTCAAAATACATATTTTTGTATTTTGCCAGTCTCCAACATAAAACTAGTTAATTCATATCATAAGTAAGGTTCAACATTCAAGGTTGTTGCGGTTACGTCACGGTGACGCTGCTCCATCCGCAAAGCTCGTTTTACTTTCGTCTTTGTCTGCGTCGTTATTAAACCGATATTTTATACGAGACGTAAGGTGTAATTATTATTTACTGTCCAAAACAGTATCTTTACTATCAATACAAAGGTTTCCACAGTCATATAAGTACTGTGGTTAGAAAAAAATTTAGTGTTAAGTGAAAATATAAAAAAAAATGAGTACAGTTAATGGCAACGGTAATTATACATTCAATACTTAGTAAATGGAAAAGGGAAAGCTAATTAAAAATGTCGGTTAATATAGGTGATAGAGTTACTGGATTAGATGACTTTGAAGAAATTTCAATTCCAGTTCCTTGGGGACATATAGCAGGTAATAATTGCTGTTTACAATAGTATATAGATGAAATTTAATCGATTTCCAAATTGCACCACAAATAATGCTGACCTACTAGGTGAACTTTGGAATTAGATCCTAATATTTCACAGACTTAGAACAATAGCTTTGTGTTAAAAATTTACAATTTAAAAGAAACAATGTAACTTAAACAGATAACCGAGGAAAAATTAAGCTACAATTTTTTTTAATAATTTCATTTCAAATACTTCGAAATATAGTCATGAAGATAAATTATTAAAAGGGAATTTGGAACAACTTCAAGTATTATATGTAAATGTGAAATATGTAAGAGTATTCACACAATAAAACAACATCGTTAAACTGGAATTACTTAACGAGGGAATTAGAAAAGATCTGAATATCAATACAATACCTGCAAGTATAGACTTAAACAAATTTGTTCAAAAAAACATCATAATTGGAAATGAAATGAGAAAAATTTCACAGCCAATGCAATCATCATACGTAATGTCGAATGTCTTACAACTGGACTAAAGGTCTCATCAAAGTCTATTCCATTTCTCGGTGAAACCTTTCGATCTAAATCTAACATTATTTTCTTACAAAAAATCCTTTACACTGAACTACAGACACTTAACGATCTTGTGGAATATCCACACTATTGTCATGAAATGCATTAATTTCTTATCCTCCATTGCGTGTAGCCACTGCTCTCGACATCGCTTCTTTACACACTGAGGATCATCTTCCAAGCTAAAATTGGTACACATGTAAGATACAGTCAGTGTTTTTGTTTAGGTACTCGCTATGATCGCCTGCTTGGTAAGACATTATCTCTGGTTCACTGTTTATAGGGCCCCCTTGAAGTATCTTTTTTTTTAAAAAAAAACTTGAGAAATATAATGACCGATATCGATCGATATACTTAACTGGTGCATTCCTTCCAGTTGCCACCGCAATTACTTAAGAAATTCCACATGTCAGCATATACACTGCATGATCTTTCTATTTTGACATAGCACAGCATCCAATATGCAAATTCAGTATTTAGTTCCTACAAAAATATATCCAATGGATAAAGGAGCCATAGATAATCAAAATTTGAATTATTACCGGCTCTTGATTCTTTGGAAAACCTTCCTAGAGCCGGTTATAGTCAAAATTTGAACTTTTATCAACTCTGGATTTGCGAGAGCCTATAAAAATCAAAATTTCGAATGATCATCAGCCACTCTCAAGTTGATAATAATGAAAATTTCTTATTCCGCAACGTTTAACTGACTTAAGGAAAATTATCCAATGGATCAAGAGCCACATACAGATACCTAATCAAAATTTGGACTATTACCGGCTCTTGATTCCTTGGAAAACTGCCAATCAAGAGCCAGTAATAGTTAAAATTTGAACTTTTATCAACTCTGGATTCGCAAGAGAATTTTTCTAAGGGCATTCAATACTCGAAAGCCGATGATAATCAAAATTTCGAATGATCATTAGCAGCTCTTAGGTTGATAATAACCAGAATTTCTTCTTTCGTAGCTACTAATTGACTCAAGAAAAATTATCCAATGGATCAAGAGCCACAGATAATCAAAATTTGAACTCTTACTGGCTCTTGATTCCTTAGAAAACCTTCCTTGCCAATCAAGAGCTAGTAATAGTCGAAATTTGAACTTTTATCAATTCTGGATTCGCTAGATAATTTTTTCTAAGGGCATTTTTGAATGCCTACCTACCTCATTTATTGATAGATACGCAAATATTATTGATGTTAACCAGAAATTGCGAGCATGGATTTCATGCTTGTTAGTAATCTAGCATAATATGGAATTATAGAAAATTAATGTGGATTAGGTCTATGCGATAGGCCCCTTGTTTCAGTATTCTTTATTGCTGATTTCGCTAGTCAATGGAAAATAAGTCAGCAAGTGTTCTTTTCCTTGTGACTAGGAAACCAGCCGAGGCATTAAATCTGCTTTTCTGCCATGTAAAACATATAATTTTCTCTCCGAATAATGTTCAAATTCACACATGGACATCTTTTTTATATATTTATTTCATTCATTATTATTATCCAAATAATTAAATTATTTTGACAATTGTCATTGTCACCATCAATTTCAAATACCAAATTGAGTGAAATTATTACCTAGAACGTTGTGACACTGTCACTTTTAATGCCTAGGCAGTAAAAGTCCACTTTCTACCACCTCGACAGGTGTTAACCCGTTGGATTTGCCTACCAGCATAGAAATTAAATTTCTAACATCTTGACAGGTGCTGACAAAGTGACGTTTTTTTGACGTTTGGAGAAAAAATATATTTCCATTGCACGAGTTGTATTTAATGAGAGAAATTCATAAATCAAAAATTTAAATTTTTTGTCAAAAAATGTCAAAACACCAGTTTTTGCACCAGTTAGTATGCAATTATCACGTAATTACAATCTGATTGGTACAAATCAACAAGCAAAACATGTCAATTTATTGTTGGAATACCAGTTTTGACAGATATATGAAATTCTCGAATGTAATACCACAAAAGGTTTCAGGATTACCGGATAATACTTTTACCTGTCACGAAACGCGTTACGCAGCAACACCACGACTCCGAAGGAGGAGTGGTGTTGCTGGTAACGCGTTGAGTGTCAGGTAAAAGTATTAGGTAATCCTGAAAAATCGAGTGGTATTCAAAAGGTTATACAACGAACTAAACTTTAATTCTTTATTAATTAATAATTTCATGAATCAAAAATTTAAATTTTTTGTCAAAAAATGTCAAAACACCAGTTACCGTGCAAAAGGATTATCACTTATTTTAAGCCTCTCGTGGATTATGGGAAGGATTATCACTTTTTAATCCTCTCGTGTCATATGGGAATAATATACAGTGAGTTGTATAATCTTAATTATTACTTTCTAATAGGTAAATGGTGGGGCTCACAAGACGTCCAACCGATAATAGCCATCCACGGTTGGCAAGACAATGCAGGCACTTTCGACAAATTAGCACCGCTTTTGAAAAACAAGGGCCACTCTTTGCTTTGCATAGATTTGCCTGGACATGGATTTTCTTCGCACCTACCACCAGGTATGTACACTAGACCAATCCACAATCTCTTACAAAATTGAATAATTTTCAGGTCACAAATATTATATTTGGTGGGACGGTGTACACTATTTACGCCGAATAGTGAAATATTACAAATGGACAAACATTACGATATTGGGACACTCGCTAGGCGGTGGCATTGCGTTTTTGTACGCGGCCATTTACCCCAAAGAAGTAGAAAAATATATCGGCTTAGATTTGGCCAGTCCTTCGGTGAGAAATTTGAAAAAGACCTGTGATGCATTAGGCTTCGCCATAGATAAATTTTTAAGTTACGAAAGAATTACGCCTGATAAAATTCCTTGTTACCCATACAATGAAATGTTAGAGATATTGATCGATGGCCAAAATGGTTCTGTGAATCGGGAAGGCTGCAAGATTTTACTTAAAAGAGGCATGAGGCTGGCTGAAAATAGAGACGGTTACCTATTCACAAGAGATCCTCGACTGAAAATGGCTGCTTTAGGGTTTTTGTCCATTGAGCAAGTGCTGGAACTTGCTTCAAGAATAACTTGTGAGGTAATATTAAAACATATTTCAATAATTGAGTTATATATAAATATTTATTGTCAGGTGATGAATATTAAAGCCACTCCAGGCTTGAAACTGGATCATCCAGAACACTATGACATGGTCCTGGATCAGATTGAGAAACAAGCCAAAAAAGTTGTGAGGCATAAAATCGAAGGCACCCATCACTTGCATTTAAACGAGCCTACTTTAGTTGATAATATTATACACGAGTTTTTAATTTCATAAAGTGTATGCTTGAACCAAGGATAAAGTTATTTATTTTAAAAAGGTGCTTTGTTATTTTTAATTAGTTTTGTAATTAAACAGTATTCTATTTTTTTTAAAAAATGCAGATGTAATTTGTTAAATATTGTGTGCATATGGAAATTTCACTAAGATAATTGTTGTTGGTTTTCATTTTTTACTTTATTTTCGTTAATGCAACCCAGATCGCTAAAATGCTATTCTCAAGCAACTCAGGCGCCACTATATTTAAACTTGGTGCACGATTCATGAGCTCTGTTCCAACCGACATGAGAACTGTTCCAGAACCAGTAATTTCCAGTTGCCCACCTATTTTTCAATAAGTTGAATGTTTATCCTCCTTGACAAATAAATTGATCTACTGAAAATTACCTTCTATAACGGTTCTCATGTCGGTTGGAACAGAGCTATAATCGACAACTAGGTACCCATCATTTCTGGCGGAAGAATTGTGGTCAACAAAACAAGGGGCAAATGAGATATACAAAGGCAAAGAAAACAAAATATTTTATTTAATTAACAATACACAGTTTCAACTCGGCCAAACTTTTTCCTCAATCCAGTCCAAATAAGCTGAAACTCTTGTGTAAATTCCAGGTGCCGTGCTGCCGCATTGAATCCCATACGATACGATACCGACAATATCGTAACCTCCTCCTTTCGTCATAATTTGTATAGGTCCTCCAGAATCACCCTGGAATGAAACTTTAGAATCTTCAAAATCATCAGAAAAAAAAATTTACCTGGCAAGCATCGCTAGTCGATATGGCACATATCTGAGAATTAACGATAGTTTTAAGCGTATTAGCTGGACTCTTAGACAAAATCGTAGTATTGCACCTGTTGATTGCAACAGGTTGAATAACAGCAAACTGTAAAATAAACGATCTACTATCGGTGTCGTCCGCTTGAGTTTGGCCCCATCCTGTAACCAGTAATCCTTCTGGATCATCTGATGGCACGTGCAAACAAGCTGGATAAACATTTCTACTCGTCTTAACATCTCTAACAAGCTCCACTAGAGCTAAATCGTTATGTCTCGAAGCTCCGTTGTACTTTTCAAATATCGTTACCGATTTTACGTCTATGTCTTGAGCTGAGGCATCATCTCTAATAATAGGTGATAATTATTTAATAAATTGTTTAAACAAATTAGAAGTTTACCTTAGATCTACAACGCCAAAACGAGCTTTAACAGGATCCTCGCAATCGCTACAAAAACTGCAATGAGCTGCCGATAATAAAAACCGTGATGAAATTAGGGAGGCACCGCATCTACGCCAGTCAATAATCCTACTGTCGTCTTTATCTTTATAGCCAAGAGCTGCCTAATAATTTTCATATATTTATTTATTTACTACAGAATTATTTGAGTTACCATATGCGGAAATTGTCCTGTTTTAGCATCCTCCCCATTTAATACATGGAAATCTATGACAGGAGCGATATTGTTGTCCTTGTAGATTTTTTCGCACACTAAAAGAATTCTTACAATTAATTTTAGTTTGATTAGTCTTTGGACGTACCTACTTATTTCGCATTTTCGCTTTGCTTTGAGCCTTCCGCTTGGTGTTTTGGTATCGACAGGATTTTTAGTAACAGGTAATTCGGACCAAACGGTCAATTGGTCTATGGTGCTCGTTTCATCATCTACTGGATTTCTTTCGGCCAAATCGGGACAGCATACAACCTGTACACCAAAAGACAAATGTTGTAGGTATGAAACAAACTTTAGACAAATATGCTTCTTTATCTGTAGGCATTTTGCAGAGTCAAATGTGAATCTTTGAATACCTAATAAATATGAAGAAATCCCAGGAATATTTAAGGGTTGTTGGTTGTTTAGACTATCCAATTGAAATCATGTGATATTCATGGGATATTTACAGGAAAAGATTGTGCCTTACAAGAATTTTCAATATCAGTATCTATTATGCATACCTTCCAGACAGCACGCAAAGTCTTAAAGACGTCTATTTTAAGTTTGCATTACGTTTGAACGTCTGAAGACAAAAAAGACGTGGTTTGAATATAACTGGTGCTTGATCTCTCCTATTTAAAATTCGTTGATATCAAAAATCCGTCAAAGTGTATTCGATATAGTACCAATAGAGTTCCACTACTAAAACCATTGTTTGGTACAACCAGGAATGTCGAGACGTCTTGAAAACATATATTATTGAAGATGTTTGAGAAAAATGTCTTGAAGACGTTGGATTTTATAACATACGACGTTTTTTTGAGATGTCTTCAGGACGTCTTGGAGACGTGAGCAGACATCTATAAGACGTCTTGAATATCGTTTGTATACATCTTGGATCTATGATATACCAAAAATGTACTAGAAGAATATTTAATGAATATACCTATTCTATGACTTACCAGAAGAAAATACTATCAAAGTATTGAACATTTCCGAGTAAAATTCTTATTGTAATCTTGTGATATTCCTAGGATATTGGTGTGAAAATATTTTGCCTGAGAATCATTTTCAAGGGATGTTCATAGAATATCTATTGCTTCAAATTCCAGTAACATTTTAAACAATGATATACTATCAAAATACTGGAAATTCATATTTCCAAAGTACATTGGGAGGGTATTTAGGGAAAGTCCCAGCAGGAATTTATCTTATTGAAATCTTGTAACATTCCTGGAATATTGATGGCTTGCCTGAACACAGTTTTTGAAGCATTTTCATAGAATATTTGATGCATATTATATTCTATGATATACCAGGAATTTACTATCAAAGTATAAAACATATGCAACGAAACTTCTTATTGTAATCTTATGACATTTCTGCAATATTGGTATGAAAATATATTCCCTCGTGATCATTTTTAAGGGATGTGCATTGGGAGGGTATTTAAGGAAAGTCCAAGCAGGAATTTATCTTATTGAAATCTTGTAACATTCCTGGAATATTGATGGCTTGCCTGAACACAGTTTTTGAAGCATTTTCATAGAATATTTGATGCATATTATATTCTATGATATACCAGGAATTTACTATCAAAGTATAAGACATATGCAACGAAAATTCTTATTGTAATCTTGTGACATCCATGGGATATTGGTATATGAATATATTAGGTATTTCCAAAGTACATTGGCAGGGTTTTAGGGAAAGTCCCAGCAGGAATAGTTATCTTATTAAAATCTTGTAACATTCCTGGGATATTGGCTTGCCTGAAGACATTTTTTGAAGCATTTTCATAGAATATTTAATGTATATATTCTATATGATATACCAGGAATTTACTATCAAAGTATTGGACATATCCAAGGAAAATTCTTATTGTAATCTTGTGACATCCTTGGGATATTGGTATATGAATATATTTTGCCATTTTTAAGGGATGTTCATAGAATATCTATTGCTTCAAACTCCAGTAACATTTCAAACTATAATAATATATTATCAAAATACTGGAAATTCATAATTCCAAAGTACATTGGCAGGGTATTTAGGGAAAGTCCCAGCAGGAAGTTATCTTATTGAAATCTTGTAACATTCCTCTGGGATACTGGCTTGTCTGAAGACATTTTTTGGAGCATTTTCATAGAATATTTATTCTATATATTCTATGATATACCAGGAATTTACTATCAAAGTATTGGACATATCCAAGGAAAATTCTTATTGTAATCTTGTGACATCCCTGGAATATTGGTATGAAAGTATATTGCCTGATGATTATTTTTTTGAAGGATGTTCATGGAATATCTATTGCTTTAAATTCCAGTAACATTTTAAACTATAACATATCATCAAAATACTGAAAATGCATAATATTTCCAAAGTAGTACATTGGGAGCGTACCCAAGGAAAGGCCCAAGAAGTTCTTAGTAAAATTTTGTGATCTGAAGTCATTTTTTCAGGGATGTTCATAGAATATGTAATGGATATATTCTAGAAGAAATCAGGAATGTACTATTGAAATATTGGACATTTATTGGTAGAAAATCGAAGGCAAGTAAATCCCAGGAAGTTCTTATGAAAATCTTGCGGTATTCCTGACTGGGATATTGACATGAAAAACTTTCACCTGGCTATAATTTTTGAAGGATGTTCATAAAATATCTATTTCATATATTCTATAGGACATTACTATCAAAAAGTTTTGGATATTTCCAAGGAAAAGTATTAACAAGTTCTAACTTTTACATACTAGAATAATACTGTCAAAGTGGGTAGTGAAAAATCAAATTTTCAAAGAACATTGAAAGGATATCCACGGAAAGTCCAAAGGAAATCTTGTTACATTCCTGGGATATTGTTGAAATGTTGAAAGAATATTTATTTCATATATTCTATGACATATTAGGAATGTACTATTAGAAAATTGGACATCTATTGGTAGAAAATCCGAAGAAGTTCTAATGAAAATCTTGTGATGTTCCTAGCTGGAATATTAATAGGGAAAACTTTTGCCTGACTATAATTTTTGAAGGATGTTCATAGAATATCTATTTCATATATTCTATATGACATTATTATCGAATAGTTTTGGACATATCCAAAGGAAAGTCTTAAGCAGTTCTTATTGAAATTTTTGTGACATTTCTGGGATTGCAGTGCAGTAATACATTCTCTAACTATTACCCAATGAAATTATATTATCAGAGTAGGTACTGAAAAATCAAATTTTCAAAATACATTGGAAGGATTCCCAAGTAAAATCCCAGGAAGTGCCTAACTAAATCTTGTGACATTCCTGAATGAAAATATTTTGCTTGATGATCATTTTTAAGGGATGTTCATAGAGTATAATCTATTGCTTCAAATTCCTTTAACACCTTTTAACTAAAAAATATTCCATCAAAATACTGAAAATTCATATTTCCATAGTACATTAATTATTGGTAGAATATCCATAAAAAAGTTCTCAGGTATCTTATTAGCCAAATGTCTATACTTAGGTAAGATGATGATAATGATGATGTTGATGATCATTTGTCTATGAAATTTGAGATTTAAATCTGAGTCAGAACTAGTTTTCGGTTAATTCTGACCACAAGATCAATACCTTTTAGCTAAAAATTACCTCGTCAATGCCAACAAAACCGCACCGGAGCAGATTGTGCGGTCTTTTACGTCTAATTGCATCCAAAGCTATCGGACAATTGTTGACTTTCCTACAAATTCCAGCCAGACCCAGTTTTTGACATGCCGAACCCTCTGAAATGAATTGATAATAATAATTTTGCATATGCAAATGTCCCAACATTATAAAGCAATGATAAAAGATAATGTGACCCAAAAAAAAACCCAATGACTACATAACAATTAATCACACGAACTTGCAAATGAATGATTCCCATGATGAAATTAATTATTTAAGAAAAACCAAGTACCATCAGATAAAAACCTATTAGATGTCGCATTATTACCATCAATCCAATCGTAGCAAAAACTCATTTTGATCGCACAAATAATCCATAACAATAGCGTCCTATTATCAAAGCACATATTATTGTTGTATTAGTATCGCATTATTTTTTTGAAAAATTTTTCGTCAAAAGGTCAGAGTGATTTACTCACCCGACTGATATAAACCGACTGCTGGCCACCGCATCTTTCGGTTTAATGTTTAAATATCGGAACCTGCTATACGCGGTACCACCAGGCTACATATTTTAGCTGGAACCCGCTAATTTATTAAACGGAACCACGGCCTGGGTACTCGTATAGTCGAAATATATGTTTACAATTCGTTTAGTTGAGGAGGAACACAAATAAAAGTTGATTTTCAAGATTTTAGCAATTTTTTTTCGAAGCTTGGGGAGTCCCCATTGAATGCTTGGTTACACAGACTTTGGTTACAAATTGGGTTTATCTCTAGTGTGAAATTGTTTAGTAGGTACCTTGCTTTTAAGTTTAATTATTAATTATAGTGGTTTTAATTATTGCTAGTTTTGAAACTTTGAGCTTGGTCTTGAATCTCTTTGAAAATTGTTCAATTGGTAAAGGCCTTATTGACCTTTTGACGCAGACGAGTTTCTTATAATTTGAGCTTGATAGAAAGGCAATGAGAAAGTATGAAGGAACTCGGAAAAGATCAGGGGAGAAGTCAGAGATTCAAGGAGAAAATCAGGAACCCAAGAAAAATCAAGGATCTAAGGATCTAAGGAAATCAAGAGGAATCTCAGAGAGAATTGAAGAGGAGAATACAGGAGACGTGAAGGAATTGGAAGAAAATCCATTAGATGACCATATATTTTGGACTTCACATAACTACAAATAAGAGAACTTATCTATTTCTTGCTTGTACTGAGTACCTGAACAACGTCAATTTTCCTACATTTTTTTTACGTCTGTAATCAATGATCAATGATTATGGATTGTGAATACAAATTACTAGATGGCGCTATTTGATACGAACAAAATTTTAATACCTACTGACTACTGCTACTGCCATGCTTCATTCTTTTATCCCACAATATCTTTCTCAAGTTTAACAGTTAGACACTTTTGATTTACTCCAACTACAAGTATGGGACTTTTATCTTCCCGGTCCAAAACAAGAAGTTTATTAGAGACAAAAAGAATTCCTTGAAATAATTTCACTTGAGGATAAAATTTGAAAGTACATTAAAAAAAGAATTAAAGTAAAAGGGTGTTGTAGCCAATCAAATGACGGGAATAATCAAAATTTGAATTTTAACCACCCAAACTTATTCAATTTACAATAAATTCAAATTAAATTTATTCCCGGCTCTTGGATTGGGTAACTATTTGAATAAAATAACTAGGGTTTCACAATGTTCAAGAAATTTCTTGATCTTGACTTGAATTCAAGAAAATTTCAAGTCAAGAAATCTGAAACTATTTTCAAGACAAGTCAAGATTGCCTATTTCAAGATCAAGGTTTCTTGTCAAGAAACCAAGAAATTCGTGAATTTCTTGAAATACCTAAACAGTTTTACAATATCCCAGGAATGTCACAAGATTACAATAAGAATTTTCCTTGGATATGTCCAATAATTTAATAGTATATTCCTGGTATGTCATAGAATATATTCATTAAATATTCTATGAAAATGCTTCAGAGTTTTTGAAGACAAAAACTTCGCCAGCCAATATCCGAGAAATGTCACAAGATTTCGATAAACACTTATTCCTGGAACTTTTCTTGGATACCATTCCAATGTACTTTGGAAATGTGAATTTCCAGTATATTAATAGTATATTTTTCTAGTGTGTTAAAGTTTGGATTGTTACTGGAATTTGAAGCAATAGATATTCTATGTATGTACATCCCCTAAAAATGGCCATCAGGCAATATTTTTTTCTTGTTAATATCTCAGGAATATCATAAGATATTCATAAGATCTTCTTGGGACTTGCCTTGTATATTCTACCAATGAATGTCCAATATATGGTAGGTAATTACGTGGTATATGTCATAGAATATATAATACAATAGATAGTTTATGAACATCCCTTGAAAATTAGTTTAAGGCAAAATCTCTTCCTGTTATTCTCACAGGAATCATAAGAATTTCATAAGAACTTCCTGGGACATGCCCTGTATATTCTACCAATAAATGTTTGATACTTCAATAGTACAAACCTGGTATGTCGTAGAATACAATACACTGAACATCCTTTGAAAATTACTTTAGGGCAAAATCTTTTCCTGTCAATATCCCAGGCAAATATCATAATATTTTCATAAGAACCTCCCGGGACTTGCCTTGTATATTTTACTAATAAATGTCCAATATTTCAATAGTATAAAGCTGGTATGTCATAGAATACAATGCAATAGAACATCTTTTGAAAATTATTTAGAGGCAAAATATTTTCCTGTTAAATATCTCAGGCGAATATCATAAGATTTTCATAAGAACTTCTTGGGACTTGCCTTGTATATTCTACCAATGAATGTTCAATATATTATAATAATACATAGTATAATCTATTAACATCCCTCAAACATTGTCTTCATACAAACTTGGTTTGTCAGTATTCTAGGAATGCCACAATATTTCGTTAGGAATTTCTCTGAATATCCTTCTAATGTTCCTTGGAATGATACTGGACTGCCATCTCAGAAATGTCACAATATTTCAATAAGAACTACCTGAGATTTTTCCTTGGATATGTCTAATATTAACGAAATATACATATTCTATGAACATCCCTTGAAAAAGGTCAGGCAAAAGTTTTTCCTGTTAATATTCCAGGAGAAATATCACAAGATTTCAATGGGATATTCTTAACATTGCAACTATACATTTGGCTTGTCTTTCTTATTAAAAATTCACATTTGACTCTGAAAAAACGTAAAATGCCTACAGATAAAGGAAAATGCGAAATAAGTAAGTTTAAGAATACCTTGACTGAAATTAATTACCGGAAATTTTCTAGTGTGCGAAAAAATCTACAAGGACAACAATATTGCTCCTGTAATAGATTTCCATGTATTAAACAGGGAGGATGCTAAAACAGGACAATTTTTGCATATGCAGCTCATTGCAGCTTTTGAAGCGATTGCGAGGATCCTGTTAAAGCTCGTTTTGGTGTTGTAGATCTAAGGTACACTTCTGATTTGTTTAAAAAATCTTTTAAATAATTATCACTTATTATAGAGATGATGCCTCAGCTCAAGACATAAACGTAAAATCGGTAACGATATTTGAAAAGTACCTACAACGGAGCTTCGAGACATTACGATTTAGCTTTAGTGGAGCTTGTTAGAGATGTTAAGATGAGTAGGAAAGTTTATCCAGCTTGTTTGCATGTGCATGCCATCAGACGATCCAGAACGATTACTGGTTGCAGGATGGGGCCAAACTCAAGCCGACGACACCGATAGTAGATCATTTATTTTACAGTTTGCTGTAATTCAACCTGTTGCAATAAACAGGTGCAATACTACAATTTTGTCTAAAAGTCCAGCTAAAACACTTAAAACTATTGTTAATTCTCAGATATGTGCCATATCAACTAGCGATGCTTGCCAGGTATATAACTTTTTCTTTGAGAATTTTGGAAATTCTAAAGTTTTATTTTAGGGTGATTCTGGAGGCTCCATACAAATAATGACGAAAGGAGGAGGTTACGATATTGTGGGTATCGTCTCGTATGGGATTCAGTGCGGCAGCACGGCACCTGGAATTTACACAAGAGTTTCAGCTTATTTGGATTGGATCGAGGAAAAAGTATGGCCGAGTTGAAACTGTGTTTTGTTAATTGAATAAAATATTTTGTTTTTAAAATGGATATTCTTCAATCTATGTCACCAGTCAATTGCTTATTTGCAAGTGAATAGGATTTTTATGCATCTTTATTCCAAATTTAAGCTTTAGGAGAGCCATATTTATGAAACTTAAACTTCTTCAGTTGAATTTAGGTTCTACAAGGTTTGAAAATGATACTTATGGGCTTAATTTGAAGTCAAGAAAGATTACAAATTATGATTTTGACATACAAAAATGTAAAATAAAGCATCTAAAGCATTTGGTAAACCACCAGAAAGAGCCTAAATCCTTTTTAGATCTCTTAGGGCCGGTATTTCAATGTCACCTTAAGGTACGGAATAACGTTAAGTCATCTTTGATACAAGTTTCACCGTATATCATAGTTCCCTTAATTCAAGGTGGATCTTAAGCCACCTGAATAAACTGATTTCAAATTCAACTTAACGTTAAGGGTACCTTATTTAGGTAAGGCTTGATTTTAAGGTTACATTGAAATACCAGCCCTTATTAAAATTAACCTACCTAATTTAAATTAGCAACTTTGATTTTAATGCAAAAGCCAAAGGTACTTTAGGACACACAAACAACGAAAATATGCTCATGCGGGAAACAACCAGAAAGAGCCAAAATCGTCTCCAAATCAATTTTTGAGGCCGTTTAAAGTAACTTGGCGACATGAAGTTACTTTAGGGACACAAAAACAACCAAATAAAGCCACTAAAGCCTTTGGAAAACAACCAGAAAGATGACAAAATCTTCTCCAGTTCAATTTTTGAAGCTTTCCAAAGTAACTTGATTCAACAACATCACTTTAGGACACAAAAACCATTAGAAAACAACCAAAAATCATCTCAAGATCCAATTTTTCAGGTCTTTGAACATAACTTGGCAACATAGTGTAGTGTCGTTTTCGTAAGAACCTCGCGGTCGCGGTTAATTTTCCGCCGGCCAGTTCGAACTGAACCGTAATAGCGTCGAGCACGCAGGGCGGCGCCACAATCGAAATCCGCCGCAACAAAAGATCGCGGGAAAAATTTGAATTTCAAATTTCCGACTTTTATGCCGCGTCAGTGATTTTTTTTTAAAAACCGAATGCGATGGGTTTAGAGACGTATTTATTGTTAGTGGTTTGTTTCAATGTTATTTTAGTACTGGGTTTCAACATAGAACATCGAGATCCGTGGGTTAAAAAGGCACCAGAGGGACAGAATAATTCTTATTTTGGGTTCAGTGTTGCTTTACATCAGACCAAGGAACGCAGTACTTCTTTGAACGATAATTGGTAATTATATTTAATTAATTAAGTTATTTTAAGCGATTTGTAACCAGGGCTTCAGCCAAAAAGAACCGGTTAATTTAATGGCTTTTGGTGGTACTACCCACCTGAATGAAGAAAGTTGAGATGGATGAATCTTTGTCAGTGCATCAAGTGGTACTAACTAAAAATATCCACCAAGGCAAAATTCAAAATGCTTATTAATAGTTCATTTATGTTTACATAGACTTATAATAAGTGGCTCAGATGGTTTGCGCTGTTCCTTCACAAGTTTAACGAACTATATAATTTGAGTGGATCCAATAAATTCTTCAATAATAATCAATTTGGGTCCGATATCTATAATTAAAAGTCAAACAATGAATAATGAAGAGTCATCTCTCTTTGTGGCCGCTCATTAAATCTTTGTTTTTTGTCGCGCCTTTCTTTGATAATTTCATCCCGAGGGCGTATAGGTACTGCATAAAGAAACGGTCTTGGAAGGGCGTAATGATACATCAGCTATCCGCAGATGCATGTAGAATGGCCTTTTGTGCACGCGCCCACACGGGTTTCAAACACCCACCTATGAAGACCTTATGGTAGTACCGAACTTCGAATCAGATGCGGCTCGTGAGGAAATTTTCGTCACTTGGGATGTACAATAGTAGAATTTATGAAGTTATGAAAATTTCAATTTCTTAATTTTTTAGTTTTGCTTAATTTTGACTTCATGAATCGATAGAGCGGGTCAAAATTAGTGGAAAACAACCCTGATATCAATTCCAAATGGCCATTTTAAGCAGACACAAAAATAAAAAGAAAATCCTATTTTTGGCTCTGGAAAATTTTCAAAATCCTGACATGGTCATGAACAATTGCCCATATCTTTGGTAAATTTTGAGTAACTTGAAAGAAATTATACACCATTGGAAAGAGCATTAAAATCTCTATAAATCCATGCAAAAGTGAGTTCGATAGCTCAAATAGTTTTCGGGCAACTTAGCCTCAAAGTTGACTTTTACCCCAAAAAAAAAATACCTTCTGAATATATCAAAAGTACCATAACATACAAAGGCGGATTTCACAGTTTACTGTAAAATCAGCCCAATACTGCAATGATGCAATCATTTCGACATTCAGCATTGAAAAAACTGATTCCAAAAGTAAACAACATTAACATTTTTCACATATTATTTATACAATATGACCTCAGATTCCTTACCCCTCTACATCATAATTTATTGTACAAAGATTTGCTAATTCCTTCTCGATTATTTCTTTGTTGATTGGAATTCCTGCTGGGCTTGGTTAATTATCATTCTCTACAACAAAAACAAAAATGCTACAATCCTAAATAAAAATAGATAAAACACAACACAAAACTGGTGTCAAGCACCTGAAAGAGAATTACCATAAAATTCAAATTAAGCTTTTAAAAGTACAATGGTTGAGACATAAAAATGCTAATAAATGAGTAGGTACTTTGGTTGGTTCCATGTGTCAAGATTGGACAATTTCAGTATCTATATTCTTTGATTGTATGTTAATGACGTTTTGACCCTGCCTTGAACTTGCGTAAAATTGGCCTCTCTGCTGAATGGTTCATTCAAAGAAATCCAGACAGAATTATATTATGGTGTATCTATTGTGATTGGTACAACAAAGAAATCTCAGTGTTGCAAAATAGTTGTCTTCATCATCATGGTCTTCTGCAGGCGCCTGAGAGTTTTGCAAGTCTGCACTCTTTTGTCGTCTATTTTCGATGGCCAACTTGAAATAAGGCTGATTTATTAATTATACAAAGATTCCACTCACGATTTACTTCTCTAAGCCAAAAAAGAAGAGGCACTTTTCAAGTCACAACTCAAAGTCCTTAAATTCAATCCGTGCCAATTATCTTGCATTTAAGCCCCACAGGCAGAGAATTGATTGCCTATTGTGTGCGGGTTTTTCTTGCAAGCTGCTGATGGGACACAGTAAAGAGTGGCATTTTTGCTTAATAAAGGCCCGTAATGGCAGCTAATTCTCCGTCTTCGGTACGTGAGAATCTCGACTTTATATACGTCGGCGGATTTGTAGTAATGGTACCATTTCCAGGGGTGCGACCCTTAATTGGATTGTTGCTTTTCTACATTTTAGATTACCTACATAATATGATTTTCAAACATTGAAGCTGAAATTGAGTTTCCAGAGTTTATCGTTGTCTCTATGGTAATTAGAATTTAGCAAAAGAAGCAATTTCTAGTGTTGAAGCTGGATAAATTAGTGCTAGAGACTCTTTGTCACCCTTTGTCTATTCAAAAGAGTCTTTTTTAGCAGTTTCTAGTCTTTAATTTTTCGAAGTACTTAAGTCTGTTGGATGTTTGCCGTATGTGTCTGGATCTAGTTTATCTTTTTTAAATATAGTTTGTCTTCTGCGAGTTAGTGCATCGCATTCTGATATAATATCTGACCAGGAAGTTGCACAGTGTTTTGAACAGCAATTCCAGAGAGTACTAAACTTTGCCCTACAGATATTAGACCAACACTTTTTGTTGAATACTACTTCAATAGAACACCATACATTTCACCTCAGAAAAGGTAGAGATTGACATTAAGTCCCTAAGGGTGAACTCCAGCACTGGATTTGATGAGATTTCTCCTATCTATGTTGGGCTGTCTCAGTGTCTGTTCTGCATAGTCTGCAGCTCATATCTCTGTGGTACAAGCCGGTGTAGGTGCTCCTTTACTAGGGCATGCCCAGTAAGAAAGCCGGTTGCTATTCTGAGTTGATTTCTGCTTAGTTGTAGCAGTCTTTTTCCTCTTTTGCTGCATTTCTCACGCATAAAGATTTTCCCATGTACATGCTTTGGATATTTGCTTCGAGAATTGAGCATACTTTTTGCTTTGATCCATTCCTTCAGTTCTTTTCTTACTGTGCTTTGGGGTACTCCGAGAGCTGGTTCGGGACTAAGGTATTTTGTGGATGACCCCCTGCGTGCAAATTTGTCCAGCCTTCTCGTTGCCCGGGATACCTCTATTATGTTTCTATATAACGATGCACGTGGGTACTGAATAAGAAATCTATAATTCAAGCTCCAGAGAATGATCTATTCCCTACTTTCTGTGACACACACTATCACTTCAGTATCACTGGTTTTAACATCTCCATTACCTTTATGCAGGTAGCCAATTAAACATAGGAAATACATAACAAGCTCTATGCCCAGGCCCTCAATTCTTGAATTATCTCGCATACGAAAATTGATATGAATTCGAATGTTTCCTATTCAATTTACGTTG